AAAAAAAAAGGATTTCGTTTGTTATCATGAACATATCCTATGTTACGTAAAATAATACAAATTTTTAGACGAACAAGCATTAGACACACATTCAGCGACATAACATCATTGGATTATGTCTTAATCATAGGACATATGTGATTATTCATTTACATGACAATCTAAAACTGATTACTATTGATAGGCTATAGTCTAAAATGACTTTCAATACAATTATCAATAACATATGCAAGTTCTTCAACATTTATCAGAAAATTATTAAAAGCCAAACACATCCAAAAAAAGAAATAAACGATAGAGAATTTCAAACTATCTCAGAATATATAATTATTTATTCTTTTTTTTGCTATTTCTTTTACGATAAAAGAAAAAAACAAAACTTGGTAAGGTAGTAAGAAAATGTAGTCCGTAAGAACTATATCATGATAATACTTTCATTGTATTCAATATACTTTTCGATAACCGCAATAATAAATATATAGACTAATAGAAGATTCGGAGTACTTTCACAATACATTATTATTTTCTAAAAACAGGTGTTTTTATAGTGACGATATATTAAAAAAAATTGACTGCAACTATTTTTTTAGGAGTACATATATATATGTGCATAATAGAACCGAAAAAAAAAGAAAATTTATTTTTTTTATCTTCACCAGTCATGAGAAACAGCAAAAGAAGAAAAACCAAGCAAGAGAAAAACATACACACACAGAATAACTTTCGTGCCTCTATAGATAGATACTGTTACAATAGCAAAACATGTTTTTTTTCCGAACATTTCATTAATTTTGGCGGGGATTTATAATGACATGATAAACTCGATGGAATGCAAGTAAATAAGTGACAAACAAAAACAAACGAGAAAAACTGAAGAAAAAAACAAACCGAGAAGTATTAATCGACAAGTAGCACCCTGTATGAGAGAGCGAAAAAAAAGAGAATCAATCATCAGACTAAATATTTTGTGGCTAGAGAGGATGAAAACACAAGGAAAAAAAAGGAGAAATAGAGAGAACGAAAAATAATTGTACATATATAATTAAATCTATCTCGATGATGAATCAATTCGACGAGCACCACTGTTCGACGAATAAAGATTAAGCCATGCATCGAGTGACTGTTGACACACCTGAGGACGTTTTCCTAGATCACGAAAAAAAAAATGAAACAACATATTTATCTAATCTATTAAAAAAATAAAATAGAAATGACTTACCAACTTTTTGTTTAGCTACTAATAAACCATTATTTGTAAAACCGCAATCAAGCCATTGATGAAGAATAGCTTGTTCATGTCCAATCTAAATATATAACAAAACAAAACAAAAAAACATTTCCCCCATATTATTTTTTTCTCAAAAAAACAAACAACATACTTCAGATGATGTTAGAAAATGAACAGGTAAAAGATTTCCATCACAATCCATTAATGGATGATAAAATGTTTGTATATCACTGGTATCATTCTGTTGTTGTTGTTGTTGATTTATAAATGATGGTGATAAAGATGGTGACGGTCGTTGAATATCATTATCATGATTATGAATTAATGGTGATGATGAACGAGATGATGATGATGTTATATGAATACGTTCTTGCATAGGTACAAGAGCAGAAAAATGATTACGTGTAAAACCAAGACATATAGGTGATTTTGAACAAAAATTTATTTCCCAAAGTAATGGTAAATAGACACCTTGAAAACGAGCAAGACCAATAAAATATTCACCACGATAAGATTTAACATTTGTTACACCATAAACAATAATTGGTCGACGAAGTATATGTGATAATGCAAAGATATGTGCATGTCCTAAACTTTCACCAGGTTGATTTGCAAATGTTAATACATCATTCCAATCACTTCGTAATTGATGTTCATCTTGTCTATATTGTTGTTTTTCAGCAACTAATCGTTCGTATTCACTCCATCGTTCAAAAAATCTATTAAACAAAAAAAAACAAGTAAAGCGCATCAATTATTAAGAAAGATTTGTTTTTTTGTTTTTACGTACTTATTTGAACCGTTTTCTAAACATTCGGCCATTGCTCGACGTAATGTATTCTCTGTATCCCATACTCCAAGACAAACTTGTAAAACACTATCTAATAAACAATCACCGTTTTTTCGATTCCATAATGCATATAAACGAGAATGAAATCGATTGGTTACTTCACTATTCCAATTTATTATTCGATTGTCAACTTCAAGTTCTTAAAAATAATAAAAAAAAAATTTTTTTTAAATAAATTCTATCGATTAATGAAATATTTGGCGTTCAGAAATGAATAGATATCAACAGACAAATACTACAATATTAATTTCATTAGTAATATTTTTCTTACCTTGTTGAACTTGTTGATCTAAAATATCATCAAATATTTGTTGTTGTGTTCGATGAGAAAAATCAAGAATTTCTAAGAATAGAAAAAATGTAAACACAATACAATTCGTCAATTATTTCTTGTTTTGGTTTTTTTTACCGGCTGGTAAAACAGCTGTAAACCATTCTGTTAAAACATATGATCGAAAATCGGCAACTTTTTTTAATTTTAAATGACTATGAAAAAAATGTTGAATCATTCGATTTATTCGATTACATATATTAGCTGGTACACGTCGTTGATGTGGTAGTTTTTTTTGTTGTCTCATTAATTGTTGAAATGCTGTTTCAAATTTACAAAATTGTTCGATTTGTCCAGTTATATTAGCTAAATTTTTTAATGTACGTCCAACAACATCAATTGATGGTAAATATGAACAATTAAGATATTGACTATCTTCAATTGTTATTTGTCGTGTTGGATCACCGCCACAAAGTAAATATTCAAAAACAACAGTTAATGAACCTTGATCAAGTAATGTTTGACATGCTTTTAACCATAAACGATCAGATGTTGCTGATGATGAATTTCTTTTATTTGTTATTAAACGTTTTTCAACACTTATACGATTATGTTTACTTTCTTTATTCGATACTCTTTCAACATTAATATTTTCCATGGATTTATTTATTGCATTCATACGTTGTTCTTCATCTGTACCAATTAGAGTTGATGAACATGTTGGTGTTGATATTATTGGATTAGGATTATTTGTACTATTATGACGAGAACTTCCACATGATATACATTTTTTTGTTGCTGGATAATCTAAGAAAATAAAAAAAAAAGTCATTTTAAAAAAGTTCTAAAATAACAACAAAATCAATAAATCGCTTTTTTGTATGTATGACCTTGATCTTTCAAAATTTCAGCATGTTCTCTTACTCATACAAGGACATTCTTCATTCTGCTATATTAAGAAAAAATCTACTTTCTTTTTGTTCTTGGTCAATTGAATTTAAAATATATATTCGTATATATTTAACTTACTATCAGTTGTACATCGAGTACAAGTCCATTTTTTTAATCGTTGAGAAACAAGACGAGTATCAGCGCTTGATGGTGGTGGTGAAATTCGTTCATTAGTATTTGTATCAATTGATGGTTGAACAGGTGAAAAACGTGATGTTCCAATAAGACGATATGATCCACATTGTGTACAACGTATAGCTCTTGGATAATTAAGAAATGTACATTGATCACATGGCCATTTTTCAACGGAATCAATATATGTTGCTGGTATTTGTTGTTGTGCTTGTTCTTGTTGTGCATTAGATTCTGATGATGCGTTTAATTGATAAATATCTGCTGCTGCTGCATATATTGTTGTTATTTTAGGTTGTCGACACATAGTACATTTTGGTGCAACAGCAAAATTTAAATATGTACATACTGAACATGCCCATTTATCATCAATTAATGTTGTTGCTGCCATTATATTTGAAGAATTTGTTGCATCATTTTCATGACGATGTTCAATATCATCAAATATTGAATCGTCATCTTCATCATCAATCAGATTGTTCATCTAATAGATACGAATAAATGAAATATTATTTGTTTTTCTTATGAATTTAAATATATATTTTTTTTTAAAATTTATTTACTATTAATATATTTATTGTTATTGTTCCAATATGAACATCGATACCAGTAAAAACAATTGTTCATGGAAATTTGAAATAGTTGAACGGAAATATATTTATAGGATTTGATGATATAGGAACAAATATCTAAAATGATGAACAAGTTTTTTGTTTGTTTTGTTTTCTTAAATATGATTTAGACCAATGAGGACAACAGCAGAAAAGTCACCTGCTTTTCTTCGTGCCTCGCTCGTTCTTGCTGCTACGTCTTCCTTCCTTCCTGTTGGTTCCTATCGTTTTCTTTCTGTTTGTCTGCTTGGTTACTACGAATCAATAAAATGAACCAATCACATTATTCAACAAATCCTCTACATATTTGTTAAGACAATTTTGTTTTTTTTGTTGTTTTTTTTTTTCATAAAAAATTCTTGATGATGAAACTTTTTGAAAAAAAATATGTTTTTTTGTTTTGATGTTAACGCCTGATTCTTATTATTATATATGTTCTTGTTTTTTTACGTTCTTTTCTTTTTATAACATGTCAATACAAAACACACACATTAACAAAAACAAACGTAACAAAGTACGCATGATGATGATGTGAATTTGTTTGATGTAAACTAAAATGATGATATTTATTGCAATTTGTTTTATTTTATTTAATCAAATAAACCAAAACCCTAAAAAAATAAAAAAACAAAGACTTATTTAAAAATTTATTTAATTTTTAAATATACAAACCATATCATCTCCTTCTTCATCGGAGTCCTCTTTTTTCTTTTCCTCTTTCTTGGGTTCTTCTTTAGCACCACCTTTCTTAGCATCAGTTGTTGCTGCTGCTGGTGCACCACCAGTACTTCCACTTGCTGCTACAGCACCACCACCAGCTGGTAAACTTGATAGTTTCTTTGAACCTTCAGCAATAATTTGTTCAAGATCTTTTCCTTTGCATGCATCAATAACTTTTTGTGCTTTTGTATTATCACAATCAATACCAACACTACCAAGAATTTTTGATATTGTTGATACATCTGGATTTGTATTACCAGCAAGAACTGAAAGAACATAAGCCGCTGCGTAACGCATGTCGACAATATCGTAGCGTAACTATTTAAAGCGTCTAAAATAAGTGAAAAAAAAATAAAGAAAATTATCAGAAAGTTAATTTCATGTTAAATATTGAAATAATAAACAACTAATAATAAACCAACAAAACTATTCATCAAACCTCGACGAAAGAGGAAGATATGTTATTGCATGATTGCATTAAAAAATAAAAGAAAAAGGCAAAAGAAAATAATTATTTATTGGTTATTGAAATACACCAATAGGAATAGAAAACAAGCATATAAGAGAACAAAAAAGAGGTTTGTTTATTATTATTATTATTTTTTTCTTTTACTAGCATCATCTTTCTTCTTTTTCTTAGACAATATTTTGAATGTCATACGTCATTTTTATTTCTATTTATTCATTCCGATGGTTAAAATTGAACAACAACAATTAAAGCTTATCTATTTGTGAATTATTATATATTTATTATACTTAATTTTTATTTTATAATCATTCAAGCTGGACTATTCATCTGATGTTGACATGCAGAGTAAATAAATTTAAAAAGAAAATTATTTTAAAAAAAAAATATAAAATTTATTGTAGATGCTGGCAGTGATGACGATTTACTCGAATGGTATCCATCACAAGTAAAAGGACCAGTTGATGATGAAGTACAGGAAGGTAAAAATAATTTAGAAGAGTTTCTTTTTTTTGTTTTATATCACGGTAATATTTTCTATATTTAAGCGGATTTAATATCAACTATTGAATTTAATGAAAATGGTGAATTATTAGCAGTTGGTGATAAAGGTGGAAGAATTGTTGTATTTCAACGTGAACAACAAGTAAAATAATACCCTTATAGAATAAAATTTAATGATTATTATTATGATTTTACTTTTATAGACAAAAACATCACCACGTCGTAATGAATATAATGTTTATATAACATTTCATTCGCATGAACCGGAATTTGATTATTTAAAAAGTTTGGAAATTGAAGAAAAAATTAATCAGATACGTTGGCTTAAAAGAAAAAATCCTGCACATTTTCTGCTTTCAACAAATGGTAAATAAAATGAAAATAGTTTTTGTTCTGTATACGAGTCAAGGGATGGGGGAGTACAGTGGGTATGTAGGCGGACATTTGGCTAAAAATGAAAATCATATTTTTTCAAGATTTAAATATATAGCAAGATATACTTCGAAATATAATCTATCCAATGCTATAAATAACGTTGAATAGTTTTGAAAAAAACACAAGGACAAGAGTATCCCCTCAAGTATTTTTCGTCAAAAAAAACCTTATCTTCGTCATATCCAATCATTTTTGAGCAAGAAAGTCACATGTCTGCTTGCTATGCAAAAAAAGCACACGGTGGCAGACCAGCACCGTTTTGAACATCGGATTGAGTTTTCCAGAGTTTGTGAGTATTTTAATACATAATATATATCTGTGCGTTCAAAAATATTTTAAATTGTCTTTGTCCAGAAGACAAAAATCTGAATATATTACTGTTTGTTTTTATGCAAAACAATGAAAATTTCTTTTGTTTAGACAAAACAGTTAAATTATGGAAAATATCCGAAAAAACTAAACGAGCTGAAGGTTTTAATTTACGTGATGATAATGGAATAATACGTTCGACAAATAGTATAACAAATTTACGTATACCAATAATTAAACCAATGGAATTAATGGTTGAAGCAACACCAAAACGTGTATTTAGTAATGCACATACATACCATATTAATTCAATATCATTAAATAGTGATCAAGAAACATTTTTATCTGCTGATGATTTACGTATTAATTTATGGCATACTGAAGTAACAAATCAAAGTTTTAGTAAGTAGTTTTATTTATTATTAAATTAAATAATAAAAATAAATTTAGTTCGATTAGAGAAAAAAGAATAATGTTAATATATTTATATTCTATTTGATTATTCATGCATATAAATTACTACTCACAATTATTTTATACAATAATCACAAACTTCGAGAGGACCAACTTTGATCTTTGAGAAGGGATCATGTTGAATAAAATACTGTAATTGAACTACTTTCTTTATTATATTTCTGGAGGATTAAGTAAAACGATGGTGAAGATATGTGTTCCAAAATAGATAGAATAGAACGCGCTCCGTGTTACATAGCAGGTTTTTGTTCTTTGATATTTACTGTAGAAACTGATGCATTTTAGAGATTCCAGCAATGTCTTATTAAGGAGTATGGACATAAAAGAAAGTCGGAGTTGAATTTGACTTTTACTATGTGTTGTGTTCAGATACATTGCTGGAACTTCAAGAATGTTTAAGCTTGTACAGCAAATATCAGAGAACAAAACGAACTATTCAAAAAAAAGTTTAGGTTTGTTCGTTCAGGGTTCTACTAAGAACATTTGCTGTTTTTTTTTTCGGGGAAAAGATACAACCGAGAGAATTTTCACATAATCTTATGCGTCCATATCACTGGATTGATCATTCTCTCTTGTGAGAGAAAACAAAATCATAGATAGTAGCTGACGAGTCTTCCAGTCATTATGAAAAGGTACTTTATGATTTTCGATTAAAGTACTTGGCAAAGAAAATTTGTTGAAGACACTAGAATAAAAAATTAGCTTTCTATAGTATTCATGCAATGAAATATAGAAGAAAACTGATTACAAGAATATTTTTAATTGATTTGTTTGCATTTATTGTTATTTTTCTTTTTAAAAGAATAACCGGAAGATAAACATGTACTTGAAAATGCTCATATCCGTATAAGTTCTTTTATCTAATCTTTCAGCTTTAAAAACGTTGCATGCATATGAAATTCTGATGATTTATTTTCAATGACTAATAATGTTTTCCGATTATTATTATTATTATACAAAAGATTTGGTACTATTTTGAGAATTATATAAAGAAAATTAAACAAGCAAACGAAAGATTCTATTGATATTTTAAATGATAATAAGAAACATTTTTATTTATTTGAAAAATTTATATATGTATATTAATTATAGATATATGTCCTCGTTCAGTAACGGAAAAAAGCTTATTGTTATTTTTTTTTTAACCTTGATCTTATCAGAGTGATTCTTTTTTTAGTTTCTAATAATTAGGTATTATTATATGTAATTGCTTAAAACATTTTGTTTTCGTACTTTAGGCTGAAAATAATTTTGAGATCGTTTGTTTGCATCATGTATTAAGAAAGAAATCTTGATCAAAATATTTTCTAAACTAAGCTTTTACTGGCAAAATCTTTTAAAAATTATATTGTTCAACAGTCAAACTACTTTGAGTTTTTTAACAGTGGCAACAATTTTACGAAACACAATCTAAAAGGAATGTTGAAGTGTAGGGGTAGAAATTTAAACGTTCCTCTCGCGTCACAAACTCTGACAGATATTATTATTATACGATCAAAGCCCATATGTCAATAACATCTCGTTATAATATATGAACTACTTATTGCATTTTTGAAGTATTAAGTATAAGGATGGAGAAGAAATGCGTCTCAAAATAAATAGAATAAATCAGACTGTCTGTGATTAGCAATAGCGGCCCAATTGTGTTTCAAATTTTAACTCCATAGGGATTGTGCTAACAGTTTTTTTTAACAACGACAAAGAATTCAGCACATAGCATTTTCATTAAAAGGCATCAAACAAGGTCTCTAGTGTAATTATTGAGCTTCTTTTTCTTCCCTAATTTAGCTATGAATATCAATTCTATACAATAAAGCGAAATAATCTATCATCATTAAATCAATAACTAAGTCTGATATATAAATTTTTATCAAATGTTTATACAATTTTACTTTAGTTTTATATTGAAATAAGAATGTTTAATTCTATGAGAATTATATTGAAAATTTGAAATATTTATATGCTATCATTATATGTAACAAAAAATAAAGAAACATGAATTCTATTTTTATGCTGACAAATGAAAAGATTTCAAAAATTAAATTGATTTTCTTTTTTTTTTCTTTTCATTTAGATATTGTGGATATAAAACCACCAAATATGGAAGATCTTACTGAAGTGATAACAGGTGCAGAATTTCATCCACGCGAATGCAATCTTTTTGTATACAGTAGTTCAAGAGGTATAATACGTCTTTGCGATATGCGACAATCAGCACTTTGTGATCGGCATTGTAAAAGTAAAAAAAAAACAAGAAAACAAAAATTAGAAATCATATGTTTTTTTTTTTCTTTTATTAATTGATTTATTTAGTTTTTGAAGAACCTGAAGATCCAACAACACGTAGTTTCTTTTCTGAAATAATTTCATCAATAAGTGACATTAAATTTAGTCATTCAGGCAGATATATGCTTACAAGAGATTTTCTTAATCTTAAAGTATGGGATTTACAAATGGATAATAGACCAGTTGAAACATATCCTATACATGAATATCTTCGAACGAAATTATGTGCTTTATATGAAAATGATTGTATTTTTGATAAATTTGAATGTTGTTGGTCACCACGTGATAAGTAAGTCATTATCAAGATTTACTTAAGACATACTAAAAGTAGTGCCGAACATATTTGAATTCCTTATATGAAAATCTTAAGACCCTGCCACTGAAAAATCAATTTTGGCTTAGGTACACTCAAATTGCATGAAATTTTCAGCATATGTTGGGACTCTAGTGGAGAAGCTATAAGCCCTATATCATAACATTTTCCGAAGGTATTCAACAAATAAGGGCCAAAAGTAGCTCATTTGGCAACCCAAAATTCTTTGTGAGCACTCATTCTATAAGTTTAAATTATTTTTATTCGAAAGAAAAAAACAATGACAAGTTCGATATCTAAAAAAAATTGGTCATCTATTTATAGAAGTGCTTTTATTTGTATAATAATAATAAAGTTCATTCCAAAAAAAAAAGTACTCTGTCAGGCGTTGCAGCTTTACATCCTATTTCAGACAGAAGAAAAGCAATTAGTTACAATGAAGCTTGCTCGAGAATTCCGGGACGCACGATCTAAAGAGTATAAACAAAGAAAAAAACGACAAATATTTCCTGCTTTTTCTGAAAATAGAATATTTCTCAAACAGATGATGATAGAAATCATCAAAAATTTTGACAAAGATTAAGATGTCAAATAAAATGTCATATCGTTTATGAAAGATCAAACCTCCGGCTATCTTCTATTTCGATTTTTCTGACGAAAATTAACTTAGTTTTTTGAAGGAGACCTTAGAAACTTTCTATATGGTCTGATAGTAAGAATAATGCTTTCCACTTCTCAGATATTTGATAGACTTGATGAACTTGTTTCTATATTTCTTTTTTATTTTATTGACACAACTTTTTCTATATCTTAATTTGTATAAACGACTAGATAAAGGAAACATCAAGAAAAGAATAAATATTGAAGATAAAATCTGATCTAATATACCCGTTGCATGTCATAACAAATAGCTCTTATCGAAATTATATCATTATATTAGTTAAAGAATGATCAAGTATCAGAGAAATACAAAGCACTATTTTTACTCTGTAACCATATGCAGAGAAAGTTACTTTAAAATTTTTATATGAAATTAAAATACTTCCGGCTAGAGCTCATTGTGTCCAAAATTTTCGGACCCTATCCCGATTAACAGATAAATTTCTGACTTGCACTCAGTCGAGTTCGGCATTAACTCGATGGATTCTACTTTCAGCACTACTTTTCGTATGTCCTAAGTATGTATTTACAAAAGAAAATCTAATTTTATTTTTATTTGTTTATTAAGTCATTTACTCACTGGTTCTTATCATAACTTATTTAAAATAACATCACGTTTAACACGTAAAGATGCAATATTTGAAGCATCACGTGAACAAGCTATTCGACCACGACAATTATTAAAAGCTAAAAAAGTTATGCCATCAGCTCGTCGAAATCGTCGTGATGAAATTAATACGGATACTTTAGAATTTTCAAAAAAAATTCTTCACTGTGCTTATCATCCAACAGACAATATTATTGCTATAGCTACTGCACACAATCTTTTTACATATATAGCAAAAGATTCATCATCATTATCATCGTAGACAAGCATTTTTCATTTTTTTTTCTTCTTTCTTTCGTATTCAAATTAGATTATGAAAATGAACAAAAAACACGTTTCTATTTTTTGTTTCTGCGTTTGAGCATGTGCGTTTTTTTTCTTCTTCTTTTTTTCCTTTCTGTATGCTTCTTATAAATCATTCAATGATAGATGAAAAGGAAATAGTCAGTGCATAGAAAACATACGTTTATATATATGTATACATATTTTTCCAAATTGAAGAACTTATTATCGTAATATCATTCTCATGATGGAACCTCGGTGACTATTTGTATCCCATACTCTTAGACGTAATTTTCTTTTTGCTCTCGGTTGTTCGTTTATTCTTCATCGTTATTCATTTCGCCCCCCCCCCCCTCCCCCATATATGCTATAGCTGGACCAGTGAGTTTTTCCAGCATCGTTCTGTTCTTTTTGATTCATCATTAAATATACACACACACCATTCCAACTTGAATAAAAACAAAGCGCATTATATGTCTATATAGTACTTTTTTTTTGTCTTGTTCCCTTCATCTTTTTTCTTTTGGTTCGTATTGTTATTCTCAAAGAAAGACATGTATGAGTGTGTATTTTTGTATTGACCTATTTTTTTGTCCTTATCATCGAATCAAAAAAACCTAGCAGAACAAACCATGATTGTCTCTGTTTCTTGTCTTTTTTCTTTTTTCATCTGTCGCAAACTTTAAAAAAAAAAGAAATCATAACAAAACAATAAAATGTTTTGAGAAAAGAATATTTTTTTTTTTCATTATGTACATATTAAATACAAGTTCAATATCTTTCTATTTCTTGTAGTAGTTATAATGACAGTTGATTATTTACCACTCATTCCTGGTTCTGATCTAGCCAATAGAATTCGTCATTCATTCAACGTTCTTGAACAATGTTTTACTAAATATACGCCAAATCAAATAGCAGTTGCATTCACCGGTGGTAAAGATTGTACTGTTGTTTTACATCTGTATTCATTAGTATTACATAAAAAATTTCCACATTCAAATAAGAAACCATTATTTCGTGCTGTATTTATTCATGATAAACCACAATTCGATGAAGTTTTACAATTCATTGATGAAACTGTTCAACATTATGACATGGATCTTATTAGAATTCAAGGTCGAATGAACGATGCATTAAATCAACTGAAATCTACTCATCCTGAAATTCAATGTCTTATAATGGGTACACGTCTAACTGATCCATATTCATCAAATTTAAAGGATTTTTCACCGACTGATCCAACATGGCCTGCGTATATGAGATGTAATCCAATATTACATTATTTCTATAACGATATATGGTCATTTTTGAGACAATTTGATGTTCCTTATTGTCCAATGTATGATCAAGGTTTTACATCTTTAGGCGATAAAGAAACAACAATTAGAAATCCGAGATTAATATATGAAAATGATGATACTGGTTTAATGGAATACAAACCAGCTTATTTATTAGAAGATGAGATCAGTGAACGAGATGGACGTGTACAATAAATCACACGATAAATTATTATGAAAGCTTTTTTTCTCATGAGTGGTAATTTATTGTTGAAAAAAATTTATGTTTTAGTAAAAATTTTATTGAAAATGATCAATAGAATGCCCCAACTAATGAAGAAATATTTTGTTCGAAAGAATTATAAAATTTTTTCCTAATTGAGAAATTGTCTTTACGTTGCGCATGTAATGATATAGATTTGAAAGAACAAACAACATTGAAAACACATCATGTTGTATCGGATAGCGCAAAATAAATGGTAGTTTCAGTATTTTTCCAATATCTCATTCATATAAAACAGATATCGGGAATGAACCGAAGTAAACTTGAACCAGTGAAACTCGGTTCGATTTGGCCTCTGATATGAAAGTATGTTCTATAGTTTTTCGGATATTCAATAGAAAAAATGAGTCCAAGATATTCTACTAATGTTCTAATAAAAACTCTAAAACGATTTGGGTTCCTATTGATATTTGACTAAACTATCGAATTTTTAACATATCTATTTTCAGAAGCGCTCAGTTTTCGGAAAACTGGTATTTTCGAACTTTGATCTGGAACTCTGTGTATATTGAGAACAGAGGTAGAACAAATACAAATACATCAAGTAAAACTATTTTACTGGTAGTATAGAAAATGTACTTTTAATTTAATTTGTCTCTGCACAAATATATTTCTTCCTGTGCTTATACTCATACTTAACGCTTTGACCTACCTAATAGCCAATGTAATACTACAAGAATCAAGAACAACTGAGTCCCGAATTTTAAAAGTATTAGTTATAGATCATCCATCATTGGAATAAGCTAATAATGTTAATAATTTTAATCGACCAAAAAGAAATTGCCTCGAATTTTTTAAGTATGACTCATTTTGATGATTTAGAACATTGACGTTTGTTATATCTTCGATGTAAAAATGAAGGTTTCTCAATGAAGACAAATGTATATTGTTCTAAATGTCAAATCCACCTATGCCTTAATGTAACACGTCATTGTTTTAATGAATATCACAGTCAAAGAATTAACAGACACGTGTGACATACTAATATTGATTTCTTTCATATTTTTCATTGTGAACTTTGGTCATAATGAAATTAAATTTATCATATATCATTTTGAAAAATAATTCGTTTTCTGAAAACAAATGATATTAGTAAGACACGTGTAGCTTTATATAGACAATTGATCTCGTAATGGCGAAAAAACGTAAAAAAGTCAAATTAGTAAAAAGTCTGTTTTTTTATGTTATTCAACACGATTGGGTCATTGTTGACCCATTTTGTATTTCCACAATGACATGACTTTACTCAAATTCAACGATACTATTGTCATATTGAGCACTCATATGATCTATTTCCGTAGTCGACTCAACATCAGCGTTGCTGGATTAGTGCCATCGGGTAAAGGGTTAAGTACGAAAAAAACACTTGATATTTTTGCTTGATGTATGAATACAATAAACTCTCTCTTTGAAGCTGAGTACCACTGATAAGTTTTTCATGGTCATCGTGACCTCATCTTATCGAAAAGTAACTGAAAATAAGAATATTTTAATGGGATTTCTTTTTCTCTCGTATTCTGACAAGTTCACTAGAGGACACATAAAGATCATCTATTTTCCTTGTTCAAGTTTCTTCAAAATTATAATAAATATTTATAAATAACGATACTCATTCAGCTTACCATCATACATAAATATAGTTCTCAATAATACTAAGAAGAATCTACGTAATTCGATCCATGCTCTACTAACCAGAATAGATTATTGATTCGTTGTATTTTCAAGTCGTCGATAAGATTTCTTGAATATATGGTAGATCTTTCTGAAAATTTACGTTAAATCCTTTAATTTATTCTAACAATATTGAACTTAAAATAAATGCAATTTATCAGATCTATGTTGATAAGTCACTAATAATTTAAATAATATAATATATTTAGGACGTAAATCTGCTTCAACAGAAACTTATAGAGTCATCTGAAAGTCATTCGACTTATTCAAAGCTTAATCATTTCTAAATTGAACATTTTTCATTCTTCATACAATACGTCAGAAATATAAAAAATGTTTGATATAAAAAAGTATTAGGTTTTCATATATAAGCAGAATTGTCCGAAATTCGTTTTAATTTCTATTAAGTTCATGTATGCAATTAGTAGACAATTAAACTACTCAATCGACTAAGGTTTAGTATTTAAAATATCTTTCATTGATGACAACAGTAAAGTGTTCAAAAATATATTGTTTCATATTGCAAGTAAAAGCACAAATACTTTCGTTCGAGTTCCGATAGAAAAATCAACTAGACCAGTTTCTATAAAAAAAAAACTTCAGAAGTTGTCAACAAAGTATCTTTGAGATATGAGATTTTCAAGATAGAGATGCTTTTCCATGGATAGTGTGTATAGCATGCATTTTTTTTGAAAGTGGCATATCTCGAAGAGACTTTGTTCAAAACTTGTGAAATTTTTTATGAAAGCTAGTCTAGTTGAGTTTTCTATATGCGTAAAGTTTCGGATCAAAATTCGAAAATACGAGTTGTCCGAAAACCTGAAGTCTCTAGAAAATAGACATATTTAAAATTCGGTAGCTTAGTCAAAACCAAGAGGGACTCAAATCGTTTTAGGGTTTTTATTAGAATACTAGGCAAAAAGTTATTGAAACCGGACTAGGACAGCTGAAAAGATTCCCTCGTAAGTTAGAAAGTTGAACATAGTCGACTAATCTTTTCTATTGAGTATCTGAAAAACTATGAAACATTCTTTCATTGGTAGGAGCATATAGATTTGTAGAGAATTAAAAACGATAATCTTTTGATAAAAAAAATCAATTCCAAAATGATGAGAATTAGATGAGATATTGGAAAAATACTGACAACATCATTTATTTTGCGCCATTCGTTAGAGAAAACAATTGATCCTATTGTTTGTTGATGGATTTTCATGATCTCGACACACGGTTTTTTCGTAAATTATTCAACGCAATGAGAACAGATAATATGTGTTTGTCACGTCAGTAAAGTTAGCACCAGATTCGATGACTCTTGTCCGAATTCGCCTCTGTATCTGTACTATTCTTCTAGTTGGTTGTGCTGGATGCAGAAATCAATTCGGAATCGAATGGTGCTATTTTTAGCAGGAGTGATCAGGCAAAAAATGGTGCTTTTCTTGGAAAAACGAGTACTGGACCTTTTCTTCGGAGTATTTGTTGTTCCGATTCACCTATGTATTTATGCTATTGTTTTAGAGGATTGGGCTAGATGCAGAATTTTATGCTGAATCCAATGGTGCCATTTTTGAAGAGGGTCATCTGACAGAAAGTGTTGGTTTTGTGGCGAAAACTAGTTATTGCAAGGTTTTGACAGGTATCAACTGTGTGCGTTTGCATTCTGACTTGTCGATTCGCGGAAGTTGTATGAAGAATGGGTTATGGAATACTTCATTGATTGCGTTGGTCTTGAAGAATACTTGAGGATCTTTATAGCCTTTTCGTGTGTGGGTTGTACCTATTCATATTTGTTTTGATGGGTTTCATTTGCATGAATTTCGGTAGCTGCTCAATAGAAGAGCTTGGAATCTTTCATTTTGTTCTTCGGGTACCAGTTGCTGAAGTTAAGGAAAGTTCTAGTTTCTTTTCTGCCATCCTGAAGGTTTATACTGGGCGTTGTGTGATTAGTTGGTTTCTCTTTTTGCTACGTCGATGAGATAGCAGTATCATTTTACAAGAGTTTCATTTGGCTAGCAATAGTTTCGACTGTATATCTCTGACTTTGCATTGTACCGAAAAGGTTTGAGACAGATCGCTCGCCCACTGTAGTACACCTGTTGACATCTGAATTCTATTGTAGGATATGTATCCATCGGTTTGGCGTTCAAGTAAGTCATATTGATGCTGGACAAAATGATCTAAGAGAATTACAATTTACACAACCGTTTTATTCAATTCTAATTACGAGTAAGCATGAAACAGCACAAATTTATTCTGACTTCATATTAAGATGGAAAAAAAGAGAAAAGAATTGATTGGCTGCTTTTGCTTTATTATTCAGATGTTGGATTATACATGCAGGATGTACAGAGCCAAATTGACGCACAGAAATCCGTCATGTGGAAAATATCCTAGCGGATGACAGTCATTAAAACGGACATATGAGCTGTCGTTTGATTTAATTATTGCGGTGAAATGAGCATTGGTATTATAGGAGTCGACCGAGAGGCGATATCTGAAGATATATATTTTAGATGATTGTCAAGTTGAGTTACCTAAACTTGCTCCTGTTCTGTTATGTGCAATAAGTCTGGTGGTTCGGTTGTCAACGATTGATTGATGCCTATATTCACAATCAAAAAAGGGTACTACATATTTAAAATGTTGCTTTCGTGTCGTACGTGCTGCATAACATATGTGCCGCTACCTGGAATTATAATTTCATTCAAATGTTTGTAGATAAAATGATCGCTTATTCGGCAGTCATCACTTTTGTTTTCGCGTTGATGACTGGAAATTTTCCATCAAAGAAAATGTGCGCTGGATAGTTGAGCGGTTCTGTTGGAGCTAGAGTTGCACCACAGTAGCCAACACGAACGATGTTGAAGGCCGAAATGAAGTTGGGGTATTTGGCATTCATTTTTCTAAATTAATACCAAATTATGAAAAGATTTATTGAGCCATAGAAATAGTGATGAGGTTCAGCAGAGGGTGTGCGTGTGGGTGTGGGTGCGGGTGCTGGTCTTCTATTTAGCCGGATCCACACATCCAGATGCACATCCATACCCACTCAACACCGCTTACTGTCGAGGTTTGTTAGAAGATCGCCGATTAATTGTGATTTGTTGTAATATCAAGAAGCCCATTGATTAATCAAGAATTATAGACGATTTTTTGTGTTATTTAAAACATTGTCGAATAATTGCTGATTTCTTTGTACTAATCGTGACTAATCTCCAAAAGTAACTCGATTTTGATAATATGAGAATACATAATAAATAAACTTGACATTTAAGATAATCGTCGTTTCTTGTCATTTATCTTTTCTAATTATTGAAAATTTTCGACCTTGACTAGATAGAAACAGCAATAATCTTATGTTTTCTCAAATTTCTTCTAGTCGTATAACGGAAATTTTCGTACTGGTGGCACTAAACATGATGCACTGTTCAATGAGGAGCTTATATAGCCGGATCACATCTGGGGAAGAAGGCTCGTTCGCAGAGTTTATCTGCCATAGCTTCAATCAGTACGGGACGGGGAGATTGCAAGGAGAACTCAGCCCCTGATTGTGCAAGTAGTTTGCTTGTATTGATAATTGCTTTCCACAGAGAAAAAAGTTAATTCAATTTATTTTTACACAGAACAAACTTTTCAAAAGATTCGATCCGCTGGGACAGTTTGAGTTTTACAATACAAGAGAATAATTATAATTACATGTCGTCTTCACCAACCTTTCAGAATTATTATACAGCCTCTTTACTCAAAATATCCAATGACTAACTTCTTCAAAACGACTGGAACCGACCGCTTTGCGACAATTCAATCCCAGAAAATCCGTCCTTCTGGTTTCATCGGAATCCGACAACCAAAGTACGTCAGAACTTACGGGAACCAAATGACATCGGATCGGATTTCCATAATCGCCAGGTCATCGAATGTACACATCCGCATCCGTCAGATTCAGAGAGATCTCATAGAATGCGATTCCGCACATATGCACTGCGTACTTTCAACCGATGTCGAATCCTATTCATCCTTCATCACTATCACCAAGTCGAGAGTCACTCGTAGAAATTCGACTTCGAACAGAAAATATTCCTGAGAATGAAGTCCGGTACCGGTTTTTCTGGAAAAGTCTCATTTTACGTCTGGCAATCCCCTTTGAAAATAGTATCATCGGACTCAGCATAAAATTCTGTATCTAGCATAACCGTCTAGAAAAACAGCACAGACACATAAGCGCATCGGGACAACACATATTCTGAAAAAAGGAGATCCAGTACCGACTTTCCCAGGAAAAGTCCCATTTTTTGTCAGATAACTCCCTTTGATAACAGTACTACTGGATTCAGCATAAAATTCTGCATCCAGCACAACCAACTAGAATAATAGCACTGATGAGAAGACGAATTCAGACAAGAATTATCGAATCTGGTGCTAACTTTACTGACCCGATCTTAAAAGGTTTCAAAAGAGCTCAAAACAGAGATAATTCATCATGCTGAGTCGAATGGTATGGCTCAACATGATGAATTATCCCTAGTTTGATCTCTTTTCAAGTCGTCCACGATGAATTTGCTGAACTCGGAGGTCTCCGGGAAACTCTTGTATTTTTGGAACGGAATAGGCTAGAAAGTTTAGGCTTGGGTAGATCAAAAAGGAAGAATTTTTCTTATCGATTGATCACATTCCAAGTGGAAATCCAAAAGGATATGGCTTCAGAATATCTTTTTAAAAATCTTCGTAGAGAACTCAACTGATTGGTCAATTGTCGACCAATCAGATTTCGTCATACGTAGATGGTTCAGGATCTTCTCTCTTGAACGTTAAAAATCCCAGGTCTCTATATTATTCCTAGCAAAAGTTGTTCAAAAAATTTCGAATTTTCAAACATGGAATACTCATTTTTGCAAAGAAATTGTTATCCACAGAACTGGAATAATACGTTATATTTATGGAGTACGAATATCAGTATTTAAACTCGCTAGTTTTACAAACTTGCTCTGTGTACATCAATCTAGTTCGTTTTGATTTCTTCTTCTTATTCTCGTAGATGATAACTGAAAACTATGTTTAAAACGCCTCATGTATTTTTCTTAGTTAACAATAGATGAAATTTTTGTAATGAAGCTAAAAATAAAACTTTACCGTAGTATTTGTTTACACATTATCCGTATGAAAAAAAATATAAATAACTTTCTACAATCAACCAAAAAAAAACCAGCTCTTTCAAGCGGACTGAAGCACAGATATTTCAATTTTTTATCGTAGTGCTATTTAAGGCCTATCTTGCAATTCGAGTATCATATGATGTCATTGCTTCAATCAAATTTTTTTTTACAAATTAATCAGTATCAAAATTCATGTAACCTTGCAAACATTTCTTGGCTTTAAACAACAAAGTAAATCGATTGAAAAAATCCAATAAACTGTTTAACTATATATTTTATCACTACATCTTTCAGGATCAATTTAATATCTCAATAGGACATAACTATATTTATCACACGAACTAATCTTTCTCTTGTAAACTATAACAAGCAAAAAATCATTCATCATACACAGAATTATAATCTAAAGATTTGAACAAGGACGTAAATGAATACAAAAAAGTGCTGTTTTATCGTTAGAAAAACAGAAAAGTCAATGAGTACGATTTAATAACACAAAACGAATCAATTATATAGGTACAGGTATTAATTCATTTCTTGAAGATGTTGTTGTATGATTTTGTGTTTTAACCTGTCGATGAATAACCATAAGTGTAAATAACAATGGTAAATGTATCAGACTATATCGAAAAAGTTTTCTTGATGATTGTGCATCACGATTACGATAGAATTTATATGATAGATAAATTAAATAGAAATTAATCGGTAATGTATCAAAAGCAAATAGCCATGTTGTCATATCAATGAGTGGTGCAACAAATGAACATGAAAGAAGTATCATAATTGAATAACGAAGAGATGTTATTAAACATAAACGTTCATGAGAAACACACATCATTTTATAACCAGCACGATCATATTCTTGCCGAATATTCCAACTTAAAGAATTAAAATGTGGAAATTGCCATGCATAAAGTAGAAAAGCAAGTAAAAGGGCACCTAAAAAACAAAAATCTTTCTTTGTCAATTTTCATTTTGAATCTTTCAGATACGTAACAACTATTTTAAAATGTGATCCTAAATATTTAATTCTCTATAAAACGGCCGAATTTGTCTTTTTATAAAGTTTACGTGTCGACGTTATGTTGATAAGAGTAACATCCATTCAATTATACTACTGCAAATGTCAAAAAAAAAAAGAAAAAGACCTGATAAAAAATTGCCAACTGTTCCGCACTCTAAAAACTTTGTAAAATGAAAGTATCTCAGCAGTATACAACTACTTCGAGGTCGATTCATTCAGATCTCGTCCTTTTTTGTGGACAAAAATTTTTAGAAATATTAGAACTCGTGATGGTCGCGTTCAAAAGAACAGACAAGAAACTTCGGATAACGTATCATATTTCAACAATATTTTTTCAAAAAAAACCAATGGAATTCAGAATAGATGTGTTATCTCGTAGTCTTATTTTAATTCAAATAAATAAAAATACTACTTATTTATTACTAATCGCAACATGTGTTGATATTGTTTAAAAACTCAGGTTTTTTTAATTGTTCTTTTGTAATAGTTAAGGTAAAATTATATAAAACCTCGTATGAAAACTAGGGATGTAGAAAAGGAATTATCCATAATCAATGTGATTCACTATTGCGTTCTGTTCTTCATCTGGTTCCATGAAGTGAACCAAAGCTCACCATTGTCAATGCTATATGTTCAAGCTCTCGTAGAGCTCAGCGAGTTGGTCCCGAATCTGCTCGGGTCCAAGCACTCAAACTTTGGACCCGATGGACTCTAGTTGACGGTGGCGGAATTCGGTTTACATATTTTTGGTTTAGTTCATTGGATCTCTTCATATACGTTCAGGCGTAAGAAAAAAGGAATGCACATGAATAACGGAACGCAATAGTGAATCATAATGATTATGGATACTTTCTTTTCTACTATCCATAGTTTTCACAAGAGATCTTATATTACTTCAATTTGACCGGCTGAAAAGAACAATTAGACAAACCTAAATTTATGAAAAATATCATACATGTTTCGATTAACAACAAATAAGGAATATTTCCATTCATTTGAATTAAGATAAGACTATGAGATAGTACATCTATTCTGAATGCAATTGATTTTTATTGAAAAATTACTGTTGAAATATTATACGTTATCCAAATTTCGATGTCTCTTCTTTTGAAGAAGATCATCTCGAGTTCTGATATTTCTGGAAATTTTTGTTCACAACAGTGATGAAATCTTAATGAATCGACATTAAGGTAATTGTATACTGCTGAGACACTTTCATATTACAATTTTTCCAAAGTGCAGAAAAATTGGCTATTTTTTCAGTAGGTCATTTACAGGAATTTTTGGACAAAGGGATCTTCTGAAATCTTGAATGTGCTAAAAGATTCTACATCTTTTAATATAGTTTTCAAAGTTTCAGAATAAATATTTGAGAAAAAAAAATTTAGAGTAGAAAATATGAAAATGCCAAAAAAAACTCTTTTCGAACAGACTCGAGCTATTGTCTTTGAAAAATTCAAAAGAGTGGAAATCTTTCAATTGCGCAAGTTAACATTTAAATTATTTTATTCAAAATTAAATTTTGAGTCCAATCATACGAAAATCTATGAAAACCCATCATTTGTAAAGCAATTTATAACAAAATACATCCAAAAATTCGTTCAAGTGCTAATTTTAAGTCTTTGTCTACTGAACAAAGATATGACGTATTTTGTCAAGATCATGATCTTTTAGAGAGCAAAATTCTCTATCTTTTACTGTCTAATACTCTTGCATTTAACATAGATCTTCATAAACACACATACGCTCACAGATGTCGCTTAATATCTTCAGAAAACAATACCAGATCATAGGTCGACAATTGAATAGGTGTTTACCTTTTGAATTTTGCTCCAATATGGTAAAACATTTTAGAAAGACAAAACCGACAGTTTTGTAAAGAACTGAATTCTCCATCGAATGAATTCGTTAGCTCATTTTAAAATCATTGTTAAATGTTCGAAAGACTCAAAATAAAAGTCGATCATTTATTATGTCCCAATCGTTAATTACCTGAATCTATAGAACCAGTACATGCTGTCCAACCCATTACAGGTGGTATTGCTCCAACAATTGATCCTATCCAAGTATTAATAATATGCTTTCGTTTCATTGGCGTATAAATACATGTATAAAGTAAAAAATTCGATAATCCAAGAATACCAGTTAAAGGATTACAACCTAATGTAAGAATAGTTACACCTGAAATTAATGTTACAGCAGCAAAACCAGTAGCATGTCGATAACTAAGTGTCAAAAAAAGATATTCAATATAAATATATTAATAAATCATGCACACCTTATTTGACCAAGTACAAGTACTCGATTACGTGTGCGTTTCATTTGTGCATCATAAGGAATTTCCATAAGTTGATTGATAGTATTTGCTGAAGCCGATGTTAAAACTGTTCCAAGTGTAACACATGCAAGTAGTGGAATATTAATTGGAAGAGGAGCTATAGCAAAACCATAAGCTGCTGTTGTTGCCACAAGAACTAAAACAAATCATCTGATTTTAAGAAAATTTAGTTTTCTTTTTAATCATACTAGTGAGATTTTTCTTTGATAATTTTGTATAATAATCACATAATTGTTTTAATGAAATATGTGCATTGCTATTTAAATCTGTTGGAAGTATAACAAGTTCTTGTTCAGTTTCTTTAAATGTATGTTTTGAATCAATATCATTAGTTTTTATTGGTGGATCACAAAATGGTTGTGATGTTATTGATTTTGTAAGATCAATAATACTGCTATTTGTTTTTTCATTTTGTTTAGTTGATGATGTTGAACTAGTTAACCATTCATCAGAATTTGTTACTTGAGAAATTTTTGGACGAGGAACTGATGCATATCTTTGCTGATATATTAATGATGTCTAGACAAAAATAAAGAAATTAAAAATAATGAATATTAATCTTTAATGATTTTCTTTTACAATGGTTGGTAAACGAATTATAGATGAATATTGTCGAGAAAGATTTGAAGAAAATAATTGAATTGATTGTATACGTATGGTATGAATTATTTGACCATAACGAGGTACCATAAAAGAAACTAATAAACGATTCATTATGAAAGTTAACACATCTAGAAACACGAATTTAATAAATTGCTTGATTATTAATTGACACAAAGAAAAACTAGTAACACAATATTCTTTTATTGTTAGTAATCACGATCAAATAATGATGATGTATCTAGTTTATATGTAGTTTTCAGTGTCTGCTTTATTGCTTTCAACATGGTATTGTGAATTATCTTGGTATATTTTCATATGATGATCTTTGATTTTTTTTTTAATATCTGATGTTAATTTTTTACTATCACTACACATTCGACTGGATCATTTAATGAATTTCATAGAATTTTATCATCTATTTTTAATTCATTTAAGATGTTGTTCTTTGACATTATTGTTGAATGTTGACTAGAATGAAATGTTTATAGGAAAACCTAAAATTATTTAAACTAAAAGATTGAATCATTATTCAAACAATTCCTATAGAACAATCTCTAAAATTTATAGTTGTTTTTCTATCGATCGCTAAATTGTTACTTTATTGGTTATTTATTTTTACATTGAATGCACGTATTTGCGATGCTCTGAAATATCAGCGACTGACTAATATCGGCATCTGTCGAAATCTGATAGATTGATTTAGTGAGAAAACTTCTTGATTTTTATGACGCATATTAATTCATATTGAAGATATCTGGTACAATAATATGTGTTTGAAATTTTTGTGTTGAGATAAGATTAGCAGTTCATAAACAAAATAATTTCTGAGACTTATTTTATGCATAAATTGCAATCAAGTACTATTTAATGATTCTATAACAATAGAAAATTATCTTAAGGCGTGTGAGTTCTATAAATTTCCCTATATAAAATGAAAGAAAATAGGAAGCATAGAGATATATTGATAATCATCATCTTTTTTTTAATCATTATATTTCTTATGTGTACTATTTCGTAGAGATGTTTATTGTTGAATAGTGTTGTATTAGTATTTTTTCATATTATATTTAATATATTTTATTTTGTGAAACGATCAAGAGTAAAATCAATTATACAGTCATACGTAGTTTGCACCAATTGTTTATGATGATTAATTATTCTTTAAATTACATCAGCAAATATTAATGTTTCATTGCATCAAAGGCAACGATAATTATTGATTATTGCGAGGAGGAGACTGCGAAGACTTCAATCTTGAAGTCCGATAAAGTCTGCTGTTTCTTTCTCGAATTATTGCTAATGTAACTTGTACGTTGTCGTCAATGAATATTTTGTATGAAAAACATAGTTTCCATATTATACGTAATAAGTAAAATTTCAGCACAATAATTTGTTCTAGATTATTCTAATGACGCAACGTGATGTGTGGATAATGTAAGTACCATCCATGGAAACAATTGTACCATCGAAAATAAAAGAAAAATTAAGAACAAAAAAAATGATTAGTCAAACTTTAGATCTTGTAAATTTATTTAAGTTTTCTATTTTTCTACCAAACCGTACTGTTGAATTTATAAGAAAGTAATAATTCATTGTACCATGTTCATTTTTCAATGAAACATGTTATCAAAAAAAAATGTCCTTTTGAGAAACGTTGAATTCTATAGTCACCTTTCAAAGTGTAAATTCTTAGAAACCAATTAATATTTTCTATTTATTTGATTTGCAAAAATTTTGAAACATTTTTTGTTTACCGTTTGATTTGCTATAAAAATTCATCAGGAGCTGTCATGTAATTTGTTAATCTTTAAAATAACTCACATCAACGCTCGACGTTTAACAAATGAGTAGGTCTCAGATTTTTCTTTCTAAACAACGTTCTTAAGTTCAACATCATCTGTAACAGAAATCATTATTTTTGCCTTTTGACATCCCCTTGAAATGAACAAGAATTTTCTTACATTTCATATCATATTTTTAGTTATCACATTTTCGAATGATACATATTCAGATTACAAAAGTTAGAGTACGCTGTAAAACAAAGCGTTGAATAAAAAACTTTACAGAAAAGGTTTATGAAGATTCGATATAGAGTTTATTATTCTATACTTTCTTTCTTACACTCTAGAATGACAATGACAACTATAAAATACATTTATATTACGGTCTTTATGATTAATCTAGTTATTGTAAACATGATTTATCTACGATTAAACATAAAAATTGTTACACGGAATCACAATTATTTTTCGATAGTTCGAAAACTAAACGCTATCCAAGCAATGACAATCTATCGTTCAAATCAAATATCAGATTTGAGTATTGAGAGGTAATTCTCTAGATAAAATATAGTGACAGAATCTTGAATACTTCATGTTAAGATTAAAAGAGAAAGATCACCCATGTTGATAATTATTTTTTATATAATTCTTGAATCTATATTCTTCTTCTGTAGTAAAACTATATAAATATTCAATTTTGGTACATAACATTTAATGTTTATGGCGGATAGAACAATCAGATATTGGACAACGTGCCTTGTACTTGATGTAATTCAATTAATTGATAATGCACACTGTCAAATAACTTATTGTCGATCATGTATTCACAAATTTTCTTTTCACATTTATCGCAATCATTCTCAACTATAGAATGTATCAAATATTGCAAAACTCAGACAAAAGCATATACGTGACTTTAACGGGAAAGCATAGGAAATCAATGAAACTTGAACGCAATATTCCGCATCGACAAGTTTCCAGTTTTTTTTTTGATGAATTTCGTTCTATTTGGTAGGATAATATACTGCTCGGCATTATCATTCATCAGAAGGCATATGACACAGACACAACTTAATGAACCGATTACATACTATGTCCATGATGTGGTGACAAAACTGATGCTTTTTCTCTTCATTATCACTATGAGTTATAATCGTCATTTGTATTAGATGGCATCAAATATCAAGCTTCACTTTCTCTTGTGATTAAATTGTCCCTTTAATATATATACTTAAAAAAAATGTCTCTTCATATGCGCTGATAGTATAAATAGTGCTCTATATTTTCTCAATACTTCATTATTTTTCAACGAATATTATAATAATCAAATTTCGATACGAACTATTTGTGATGATATGTGACGATAAATGTTGAAGTCCATTTCAAAGAAAAAAAAGCAGGTAGATACATTTTGAATAATTATTGATATAATTCAGATCCCAGGGAATAAAAGAAAATTTTAAAAATTCATTTAAATGGTTATTTTAAAAATTTTCATCAAAAACATTTCATGACTTCGATTATTTCAAAAAAACCAGAATCAATCCATTGATTTTGTTACTATTGCATCATTTTCATTCCATGACTTTGATTTCTCCGAAAAAATCAAAATCGTGATATTAATTTCACTACTTTTGCATCATTTTCATTTCATGGCTTTGATTTCTTCGAAAAAAATCAAAATCATCACATTACTTTCATTAATTTTTCAACATTTTTATTCCATAATTTTGATGACTCTGATAATCAAAATCATTGCATTAGTTTCGTTTCTTTTGCATCGTTTTGATTCCATGACTTTGATGACTCCGAAACATCAAAATCATTACAATAATTTCATTATTTTTTTGCATCATTTTCATTCCATGATTTTGATGACTACGTAAAAATGAAAACCATTACATGACTTTCATCACTTTTCCTGATTCTCATTTCCTGACTTTGATTATCCTGGAAAAAGCAAAGTCATACCATTAAATTCATTACTTTTGCACCATTTTCATTTCATGAATTTGATAATTTATGAAAAAATTTGATGAATTTGGATCTTATTTCCACATCTGTCGTTATACATACGTACAAATGTCGGTTTTTTTAAAAAAACAAAATGTCTGAGGACAGATAGAATGTCGTGCCCTGCTTTTTTTCTATCACAAATCATAAATTTTAATATTGTAAGTTTTTGTTAGTTTACATGGCTCTAGAGTAAAATGAACTTCTTAAGAGTTCATTGTACGGCTGCTCGAATGGCAATCGGTGTCTGAACTTTGTGAAAGATTCAGATGCTGCCTGCAACTAAGTCTGCAGGTAGCTTAGGTCGAAAATTTTTTTCATTGTTCTAATGGCACGGCTTTGATTAAATTTTAATTTTTTTCAGGACAAGATTTTCATGTATTGAAAATAATTTTCATGGCATGATATTAATGTAAATTTAATCATTTTCATGAAATGAAAGTTTTCAAAATCATGCGTAAATTTAAAATACATGCATGAAAGTGTCCGTTTTATGATCAAAAATGGCATTTTTTTCATTTCTTTTTTCATCAGATAAAAATGGCAATTTTCATGTATTTTTAATTGTTTTCATGGTATGAAATTCCTGTAAATTTTATTATTTCCATGAAATAAAAGTTTCGAAAAACATGGATGAATTTGAAATATATGCATGGAAATGTCTATTTCATGGTGAAACATGGCATTTTTTGCACTTTGGATATCATGTCTCGGTGGAAAAGTTTTCATTAAAATGGTGTAAATTACATCATTTTTCGCCATTTTTTTATTCTATGGGATAGACAGTAATAGCTTTCACTTTTAGAAAGAGGAGATGAAGACGCATCGAATCATATTTTACAGTTTTTTTTTCAAAGCTTTCAATCAACTGTTTTTGAAAATAAATCTAATCTCTGAAGTGTTTACAGTAAATTTTCTATTATCAGGTGTACATCCAAACTGCTCATTAAAGATCTACAAAATTCTCATAAGACTCACATGTATAGATTTTATCATTTATTTCTACTACGAACGCATATAGAGGAAAAGTTTCCTCAACTTGCTTATACGATATTGAAGTGTTTTCACTATTACTATTGTGTATATGGCCGTAAGTACATTAAAATAAATAAAAGAAGAACAAAACAAAAATTTTATTCATTATTTATGCAGAGATAACTATGAATATGCTGTATCCATAAAATATTAGAGAAAATGGTTATATATGTATATGTATCACAATCTGATCAAAAAAATCACAAAAGGCATAACGAAAAGGCTCATTAATATAATGTTTTCTTATTGCTATAATAAAGTTTAATCCAATTATTTGTTATTTTGTATCAGTTAGAAGCTGCATCTTTAGAATATACTGATTCATCGGACAGTAAAGCAATATCATCATCATGAACGTCTGATTCAATCATATCAATCATATTTAAATCCATTGGTATTGTTAATGTTTTTGTCATATCATCATTACTTGAATGTTCAGCTGAATCAGTACCAATTATTATTGGAACTTGTAACTCAAAATCCGAAAAAAGACCTTTAATTTTAACTTCTAATTTGATATCATAATGTACATTAACATATACACTTGAACGACTATTTGTTTTCTTGAAATTATATGATGGTGGAATATACATTGGAATTTTAATTGCACATGAAGTTTTAATATGTTCATCATGAATATTCAATAATTGAGGAATAGAAAAACGAATAAGTTCTAAACGACGTCGACATTGTTCAATTTCATAACGTTGAATAAGACATATATCAATATGTTTAATTGTTAAATGATTTGGGTTATAAATTTCAAATGATAAAATTGTTTGTTCACCAGGTATAAGACCAGAACGTTGTACAATACCTTTAATTGTAAGATCTTTACGTTTTGTATCAAATTTAACTGCACATTGAGTATTACTCATTTGAAGAAGATTTACTCGAGGGTAAATACGAAGTGGATAACGAGAATGAATATTTGAACAATACCATTTTTTTTCAATAAGAAGCTTTTCATTTTAAATTAAGAAAAAAAAGAAAATATAGAAAGGTTTTTGTTTTTATAGATTGTTTGCGGTAATTTCTACCTGTAATTCATAACGAACAAATGGATAATCAAGTGGATGTATTGTTGGAGGCAAATTATCAGGTAAACGAATAGAAAATGGATGGGTATATTGACCTGGTTCAAAAGTTGTTCGATCATTTATTCTTCCACTAGCATATTCTTGTTGAGTAGATATTATTTGACCTATTACTACTTTTTCTCCGAAAAATCTTACATCATGATGATTAGTTATTCGTTTTGTTTGTCCATTTTGCATGCGAGTTGTACGTATTGTTGTGTAACCAACATCACCAGCAATTATTAAATAAATATCATCAATTTTATCTGTACGTTCTGAAATTGTAAATTTAACTTGACCTGATACGATATCTCCACTATAATAAATAGTTGGTTGTGGTCGATCAAGTACTATGCTAATCGTACTATTGTTATTACCCATACTGATTGATGTAAACTTGAAGTGAATTTCTGTCGAAATAAAAAAATAGTATGTTGATTTTCTTGTATTTATTTTTTTCTAGTATGTTTAGTTTATGTCAAGAAAAATAAATGCCTGAAATAGAGTCGTTGAACGCAAATAGAAAGAAAAAAGAAAAAAAACTTCTCGTCGCCTTTGTTAAATAATGATTCTACAGAAGAAAAAGAAATAATAGAAAATATTGCAAATGAGAGTTTTTATTATTAATAATGAAATTGAATTTTTACTTTTTTTTTCTTTTCAGACAAATTATTGTTTCCTGATGAAAATACTAGTTGTTCTTTGCCGTCTTTTTCTATGCAAAAAATTTTCCAGAGAAGAAAACAACTATGTGTTATTAAAAATTGAAGATCTTCTATTTTTAATGCTCGAGTAGCATATATAAAAAAAAACCTTCTACAATTGTATATAAATACAAGAGATTGTTAATCATAATTATTTTTCAATGATACTTTCATTATTGTAAATAGATATACAAAATAAAATGAACTCATATCTATAATTTTATAAATATAATTATCCATAAATATCTTGAATAAATCATTAATTTTATGTTATGTTTTCTTATTCAATATTTGAATAAAGCATAAACAATACATAACGGAAAAGTACGTGTTATTATTGAGCGAACAAATGTTACATTGGAAATAGGAAACATGTTTTATTCTTGTGTTAGAATTTTATATAATACGCAAAACAAATTTCTGGAAAAAAAACAATGTCAGGATTTAGTTTTTAGCTTCTAGTAATAAAATATTTGGTCAATATGACAAATAACATTCATCAAGACTCGATATAATTGGCCCTAGACTGATGAAACGGAGATATTTATATAGACATATCTTGGTATAAATGCGCATTAAGTGAACTACTAAATAAATGCAAGAGATAACTTGACAAATAACAATGACTCGTTTCACAAAAGAAATTTTTTCATAAAACTTAATTTTTATGCTGATAAAAAAATTGATTTCGGATATGTTACACTTGTTTAATTAAGTTTTGTTTATATGTACAATATGTTATTAGTTTTTCTATAGAAATTTTGTTAAATTATTCAATTGTTACACTGTTGTTTCATATTGTTCTTAAAACTTTACTTTCAATTTCAAGTGATAAGTGAGTACAATAAAATGAAAAATTCTTTTTATCATATATTAATATGTGTCAAATTTTGAAATTCTATCTATGATATGCAAGTCTATTGACTTTGATGTTCGAAGCTTCAATAGTATTGATTTATAAAGATAACATCAAAGTCAATAGACTTGCAAAGCATAGATAGGATTTCAAAATTTGACACATATTAATATATGATAAAAAGAATTTTTCATTTTATTGTATTCAATTATCACTTGAAATTGAAAGTAAAGTTTTAAGAACAATATGAAACAACAGTGTAACAATTGAATAATTTAACAAAATTTTTATAGAAAAACTAATAACATATTGTACATATAAACAAAACTTAATTAAACAAGTGTAAAATATTAGCACTATTTCTATCGCAAAAAGAAAACACTCTTATATTCAGACTCATTCTCTAATTTTCAGTAATTATTACATCATATCTTCATGTAGATACGATTGAGCCATTCAATACTTTAATTACAATGATTTTCATTTTCTAAAAACATCCCAGGTTAAACAAACATAATCGTAAATTATCATATATTGACTTGTCACGCGACTTAGTATTAGGAGCGTATTTCTCTGCATGTGATATGGATACATGTATTAAACCAAAATACGATGAAATATCAAATGTATAGAGATTTTATATTCTTCGTCTTGGTATAATATTCCTCAGTTAGTTTGATTTCTAATGCATAGGAATCCTTTTCTTCACTATCCTATACAGTCATTCATACTATAGTTACTATACGGTTATTATGCTACAAACAGAAAGACATAGATAAATTTCCGTTTCTAGGGACTTTGTTTTTCTTGTGTCAAAAAAGTAAAGTCATCTAGGAAGACATGATGATTGTATTTATTCATACGAAATAATGATCAAAATTATCTTTAACAGATAATCTAATCAGTATTTTCAATATTTACATTTTCATGATTGTCTGTTATATAGTTTTTCTCTAAACATATGCATAAATAAAATTTTTACAAATTGTATCCGATGATTTATTTTAGCTTATATTATTGTAGAAATCAGACTTGTGTCACATTACATGTGTTAGAAATTCATTTTCATGAATTGTTATTTTAACTAACTTTTTTTTTCGGTATTTATGTCAAGACTTGTATATTGAATGTTACATTGATTTTATATTGAATTAAAATAGATAACAACCAACCTAAAATCCAATATTCTGTATTGATGTATAACTGTTATTATAAAAAAAAAATTTTGTTTTTTGAACTATAAGAATGTTTACAATATTAGAAAAAAATTCAAAAAAAAGAAAAAGAAAGAAGTTAACGAGTCCAATTTTGAAGACTCGTGATGTTGTACTATAAAAAGAAATAATTAATAAAAAAAATGGAAATGTGAAATAATACTAAGAAAATAACAGTAACAGAATTTTCTTGGTGTATTTAACCAAATTGTCATGGAATCTATGAATATTAATGAAATTAATCCAATAAATAAAAATGTAATTTAACCTCTAAATATGAATAATAAAATACAATAAAAATTTAAAAAAAAAAATCTTACGAGGGAACCTTTTCAACTGTCCAATCGCTTTTGAGTTCGAACTCAGTGTGAAAGATAGACCCCAGTGAGGTATGAAAAGACCCAAAAGGATAAGTGCCCATAGGCCTTCTGTCCAGAGTTATAGGCATTTTACTGGATTTTTAGCCTATGGCACAGTATATACCAAAAAATCGGATGACAATATTTCGAGCTGAGATTTTGTCCAAAGATAGGTCTATGTACCAATAGAATGCCCTGAAAATTTCAGCTCAAAAGAATGTTTCAATCTCGAGATATTGAACACCCAAAACCCAAAAAATTCTAGCATCATTCGCGGGATATGCGCGGTTTTTGGGAGTTTAATATCCCGAGATTGAAACATTCTTTTGAGCTGAAATTTTCAGGACATTCTATTGGTACATAGACCTATCTTTGGACAAAATCTCAGCTCGAAATATTGTCATCCGATTTTTTGGTATATACTGTGCCATAGGCTAAAAATCCAGTAAAATGCCTATAACTCTGGACAGAAGGCCTATGGGCACTTATCCTTTTGGGCCTTTTCATACCTCACTGGGGTCTATCTTTCACACTGAGTTCGAACTCAAAAGCGATTGGACAGTTGAAAAGGTTCCCTCGTTAGTTACCTTGGTGATGAAATTATATGTATCGATTCCGTGTTAGAGTTGCTTCTACAGATGAATATACATCAGTAGTATTATATAAACTGTCTGATGATATTGAATGATATTTCTGTACACTTTGTTGAGATTGATTGATAGGTTGAAAGTTTTGGTCTACTTGATCAGCTAGATCTAATGCAACTTGAAGTGCATGATTATTACTACTTCTTACATGTTGAATAATATCGCTTGGTAATTGATCAACAACAACAGGTACAGGATATTTATCATTATCATTATCGAACTGTGATGGAATTGGATAACCATCAGGTTCAGTAGGTTCAGCATACTCAATATGAAATTGACGACCATGTAAGTCAGGAATTTGACTGTAATAATACGATAAATTCGAAGAATTTCTTCTTAGTTTTGGGTTTTTTTCAAATTATACTTACTTGAGCATGTCGAGAAGATTTTCTTGACTTAATTCAGGTGTGTCGAGTGCTGATGATGGTCGATATATTTCAGTAGCAAGGGGTACAGTATATGATCTTTGTAATCCATATGGTGAAGCATTATAAGGACTGCTAGTATGGTTTACTGGTATTGGTATTGATTGTTGCTCACCAGCTGCTTCGAAATTGATTGGTATAAAGAGACTTGGTGGCTGTTTACGAGGATAATTCTTGAATGTACCAATGTCTAAAATCAAATAATAAAATAATTAATGAATTATTTTATTAATTGATTAATTTTTAGATATAGATTAAGAATAAAGAAAAAAATTCTAGACAAAAATGAAAACCTCTTGGTATAGGACTACTGGGTTGTGATAAGCTGAAATTTCGATAAGGTAATCGTTGTGGATTAACGCTTGAGATATTGTTTGAAGTTTTTAAAGGCGTTGGAAAAATTGGAACAGATTGTATTGGATGAATGTCCCTGTTGTGCGCATATACAGAAGATGACCGATTAATAGCCGTAGATCCAACAGGGCCAATAGGTCGCGATGATCGTGGACCCATCGGTGGAAGAGAAGGATTTCGGTGTTTTTGTTGAATGGTTTGTTGCTGCCGTTGCTGAAATAGTTGTCGATATCTCTGTTGTTGCTCTGATTGTTGAATTTGTTGTTGTTGCTGATTCTGTTGTTGTAGAAATTGTTGTAACCGTTGGTTTTGCAGTTGCTGTTGTCGTAAAAGTTCTTGTCGTAGTCGTTGTTGTTCTCTTTGTTGCTGTAGTTTTAATTGTTGCCTTTGTTGCTGTAGTTTTAATTGTTCCCTTTGTCGCAGTTCTAATTGTTGTCGGCGTAGTTGTTCTTTTTGTCGCAATTGAAGTTGCTGTTGCTGTAGTTGTAATTGCCTTTGTTGTTGTTGCTTTTGTTCCAACTGAAGTTGTTGTTGTTGCTTTTGTTCCAACTGCAGTTGTTGTCGCTTTTGTTGTAACAGTAATTGTTGTTGTCTTTGTCGTAATTGCATTTGTTGTTGTCTTTGTTGTAAGAATTGAAATTTTTGTTCTGGTGTAGGAGTAGATATTTGGAGATGTGGATGCCTGGTTGATGGAGAAACAGATCCAACACGTTGATTAGAATATAGTTGTTGTGGTCTAGTTGGTCCTTGTGGAACTAGAGAATTAATATTATCATCACTAAAATTAAGAATGATTGGCTCGCTAGCGAAGTTTTTATTAGAGTGTGTTTGTAATCTATTGTTAATTAATTGTCGAATAGTTGCTTCAGGTGGTGGTCCACCAGTGGCTGGATCATAACGAACCTTCACAATAATTGGAGCATTATCATCCCCTCCTCCATATCTGTTGTCAACAGCACCATTCATTTCAATACCTGGCTGAGAATAAAAACCATATGCGTTGTTGGGTACTATTTGTGTTAAAGAAGACGATTTCATTGGTGGAGCAATATTTGGAGCAGCAATGTTAGCAAACATATTTGATTTTACAGAAGAAATTGGTCCTGATATTCGAGTTAATGGAGCCATTGTATGAGCTTTTCGTTCTCGTCGAATAGAATCATGTAAAACATTAGCTGAATGTGCAGTAGCTAATGGTATTGAACCTTGTGATGAGATACTATCAGTCTTAGATCTACTGTCTAGACTAGATTGTCTAGATAAAAATCGGTTTTGATTTATGTTGGGCGCCTTATTTGTAGTTCTAGATTCTATGAAACAGAATATAATATGAATAAAAATAATAAATGTAAAATAAATACATACGTCGTCTGAAAGTATTATTAGTGTTAGATGCATCTGATAAATCTGTTGCAAAGCCATTTTCTTGATTATTAATCATGTTTTTCACATGATGGTTAATTCCATTTGAATCTTGATTTAGTCCAATATGCTGTTGAATATTATTATTTGATGTTGAATTAATTTGTTTCTCTAAATTTACATGTTCAAAAATAGGTTGCGAACTCGAAACTGAAGAAAATGAACTTGATGTACTACTGTCGATTTGTTGATTTACACTATTTCGATTCGATACGACTTCATGAATTTGCCTCAGATTCGACATTGGTTGCCGATAACAAGATTGGTGATTAAATCCGTGAGCTATTATTGGTATTTGATGCATTCTTTTTTACAAAAGCAACAATACAGATAGTTGTTTGTCACGCGTGTCCTTGCTTATATAATGATGGACGAGACTACTAAAACCAAACACAAGAGAATAGAGCACATTTATTATATGTCTAGTGCATATGTGTGAACAGAAAAAAAACACCTTGAATACTTTTAATGTGCACACCATAACTGTGATATATGTCTGTGCGTTTATGATTCGTTTATTTATCTGTACAAAATTATTCTGTTTTTATTTAATGATTGATATTTTTCAATGCAAAAGAATATAATACAAACAAGGGGAAAAAATAGAAAGGTCATATTAGATTGAATATTAATTATATAATTAGATTCAACGAATTAAGAATGTATTTAACTCGATTTGACATGAAAATCAAATAAAAAGAAAAAGAAAAAGAAAAGAAGCATATCTGTACTCTTTCTTTTTTTTTTCAAGATATTTCGAATCTTATCCATAAAGAGATATTTTTCGATTTTATTTAAAACAATATTAACTAATATAAATGAACTACTATTCTATAAAAATGAAATATTTAACTTTGAATATTATATATATCATCGTAATCTAGTCATTTTTCTTTTCAATATATCATTAATAAAAAAAAAAGATATATATCTCTATTCTACTCATATCAATCACTGGTTTATTCAAAAACAAAACTATTAACGATCAAAAAATGCACATCTGATTTAAACGACAGTAGTATTACATTGACTTCCTTCACTCATTTCTTTCAATATTTTTCATGTTACTACACATCAATATATATATATATATATATATATTTATAAAATGAACATAAATAATATAATGTTGTTTACACGTTGCTTACTCCTTACCACATATTGCGTTGTAAAAAAATACCTGATTATTATGATCAGATATGATATGTGTCATACGGTTGAGTAGTTCTATATAATACACAAAAACTGACATCAACTACTTGTGATTTTTTTCATTGCATTCAAATAATTTTCCTTTTGTTTTTTTAAAGAAACTAAGTAATGACTGTAGGCGATACATACACTTATTTATTGGGTCGGTGTTTATCAAAAAAAAAAAGAACAAAAAAAGAAAAGAAATCATTCAACCAATACTATTAGAGTTTCATGAACAAGTAGAGTACTGAAAAATATAGATATAAATGACAATTAGAATGAGAACAATAATGTAGAAAAGAGATTCTCAAAAGTTTCAATCATTCACTTTTTTTTATGACATTAATTTACGTGACTTATATCGTTTTAGAAAATCAGTATACAATACACGATAAAAGAGTATTGGATTTATTATCCACATAACTGGAATGAGAATAATTGTGACAAATAAATAATAGGAATCTCCTACACGATAACGATCATAATAAACAAAAATAGTAACAAAAAATAACATACATAAACGACATAAAAAGAATGTTAGAATATTTATAATCATATTTAACTGAACGAAAAAATTCTCACGTGGAATATTAAAAAGTTGAAAAAGTTTTCGAGCATGTAAAAATATTGAATTTACTTCAGCTAATAATGCAAACATTTGATAACCAATATTTAATACACGCATTATGTTTAAACCAAAGAAAATTAAAATCTACAAGCAAAAGATTAGAACAAAAATTTTACTATATTCAAATAACTATGGAGAAACATCGCAAGAGGAAATATTCAATTGAAATATTAAATTTTTCTACTAAAATTCTATATGTTAGTAGAATCTTCGAAGGGTCGTAATCGAAAATACAATGTGACTTTTGTTAATATCATGATAACAAAATCATAATCATAATAACCCATGGTTTATAAGAAGAAAGATAAAATAGCATACAGCTCTCGTCTTTTTTTCACCATTTTTGGTTATCGAAGACAGTACAACCAATCAAGTTGAAATTTTTACCAGAGATAGAGCACCAAAAATAAGGAAACACTTGTTCGAGCAGAAAAAAATTTAAAGCGGATTTTTGCGATTTTTTTCCAGTTAATCCTGATTTTCCATAGGGTCGCATTCTGATTACTTACAACCGGTATCTAACTTTGTTCAATCAGGCTGAAATTTTTACGCACGATAAGCCACGAATCCGATTTTGGCACCGAACATGTACGTATTTCTCTCATAAACAAAAGTAAAATTTTTGTAACAGGTTAAAAGAACATCTGATATATAGTCTTGGGTATTAGTAAAATAGATTTTCAGTCCAATCGGATAAAATTTGATGGGAGTCGTAATTAGAGATGTATTGGATCAAGTTTTTTGGCTATGGTTCCAGTCTAGAGAAAATTATTCTAGAATTTATTCGCATCACATCTAAAATAATTCTTCAATACTCGTGTTTTGGTTTATTTAATCGACGATTAGTACAGTTTTTCGAAACATCTCTTTTGAATTATGTTCTAATTCATATAATTTGCTTAAAACCATAGAATATTTTACTATATGCTTGAGTCTTTGTCCTGGCAATTTTTTTCGCATGATGCCGATTCCGCACACCTTTAGCTATAATGTGCCAGGATATGGCCCTATGAAAATTAATGTTTCCCAGAAAGAACCGCTAAAATCCACTGCAAAATTTTTTTCTCGAACGGAAGTCTCCTTAGTTTTGATGGTTTATCTGTGATAAAAAATTTCAGCTTGACCCGTTGTACCATCTTCAAGAACCAGGAATAGTCAAAAAAGAGGGAATACTCTTAACTCCTATTCTCCTTACTCACTAGAGATTGTAACAGACTTTTCTATTCTGTGATGATTATTAGGAAGAAAAAGTCCATGTTGTATAGACTTCATATTCATGTTCAGTGAAAACTTATTCACTTCAGTCAAAAGTAGATTTTCTTTTTCGTTTTGTTTTCTTGGCACCTGTTTGATTTTAAAATGTAGGACGTCCTCAAGGTCGATGTTTTTTTATTTTTCATCAAATTTTAAAATCATTTTGATTTAGAATAAATGAATTTATATTTTGGGAAAAGAAACTTACAACAATATGATGTAATATGATTTCAAATAAATTTAATCCTCTTCTGTTTGATATAACATCACAGAAATCATAGCAAAAATAACCTAAAATAAATAAATCATATGAAAAACTTTACATTAATTACTTAATTTATCTAAAATACCAAATGATAATGAACATGTTAAATACGTAACAAAATTAACGTGTTTAACAAAGTCATATTGTAATTCCGGATATGCATAAAAACTATATAGAACAAGTAGACCGGTTATAAAAGCATGCAACCAACTAATTAATAAATTTAATCGTTGCCATCGTTCTTCATCTGAATATGTGAACCATGTTCGAATATATGGTGACGATAGTCCATGATTATTTGATTTATTTACTGATAGTCGAACATAAGTTAATGGATCTATTAAATAACGACAACAAAGAAAAAATCCAAAAGATGAAATAACCCAACTAAAGCCAAGTGTTGCATTAATTGTAAACATCTAAATTATAACAAGAAAAAAAATTCAAATATATTGCATTTTGTTTTCATCAATCTAGAATTTTATTTTTTGAAATTTTCTTTAGATTTTAAGCGCACAAAAAAGAAAAAGAACGAATGCCACTGAAGCGCAAGCAAAGCGGTGGTCAGAAAAAGAAGTCAGTGGCGGCGGTGGCGTTAAACATATCACTGTCGTCACAAAAGAAAAAATAATGCCCAGAGAGTAGTATATATATATATATATATGAAGTCGTTCTACTTTCGTCAATGGAATGAGCAATATGGAAGAATAGTAATAACAAAAAAAGACAAAGAATGGTAGTCAATAATGATAAAGAGATATAAATATGTTTGAATAACAATGAACAAAAAATATGAAATGAATGCAGAATTATCTGACAACATGAGTCGAACAAACAAAAAAGAAAAAACAAACTGATGTATTTTTCAAGTCGAAATAGATTCATGCAAGAAATTGACAATAGCCCATTAATCAATTTTCAAAAGGCAAATAAATACAAACGAAAAAGAACCAAAAGAAAAAGTTTTTCGAACAAGACATTTTTTGTATTTTGTTCCTTTTTTTTTGATTACAGATAAGGACGGATAACATATACACAAAGCGAAAAAGTCTTTGGCTCAGTGGATAAGAAAAAAAAAGGAATTCATAGACAAGTTGTAGATGAAATAGCAAAAAGAAAAAATGGAACCAAGAAAAAAAACCTACGTAAGTAAATTCAATAAGCTAAAAGTCTGTTATAAATAAAAGGCAGGAATGTTTTCGTGTGTTTTTTTATTTATATTCAATTCAATGTTCCAAAATTTGATGTTGGTGGAGTATCAAAATAAAAATCACGCTGTTTTAATGTTTCACGTGCAAATTTTTCTTCGAGTTCCTAGAAAAGAATAGAACAAAAACGAGAACTATTATTTGTGAAAAAAAAAAAACATTAATTTTAGAAATAAGAAATGAATAAAGAATGAGAAAATAATGTAGAAGATAAACGATTGAATAAATATGATGTAAATGTATGTGCAAACCGACAAATGAAAACAAAAACACCAAGATATGTAACATTGATCGAGCAGCAGCAGCAGTGGCTGATTAGTAATCAGAAGTAATAATAGAAATAAAAAAGAACCCCAATGTGTATGAGCATTTGAGTGAATATGAAGAATAGGATATTTTGAAAATAGAAAAGACACCATGGGAACACAGCACTCAAACTACCTATCAATCTCTCGCTCATTCTTTTAATTGTTTTTATAATATTTAAAAGAGAATATTTTCGCTATCATTGCTTAATTTCCAAAATTGCTCATCATCATTTAATTCAACACCTGGCCATGAATGCCATGACTGTAAACGATGATTACCAGTTGAACGAAGTATAACAGGTGCACGTGATGATATTGGGGAATTTATGATATTTGCCGTAAATGGTGAAAATCGAGTTCGAAGTAATGTCGCACTCGAAAATGGAAGAGATATAGGTGTTTGCTAGAGAAATACAAAGTTATATATATATATATAAAAAAAAACAAAAACAAAACAACCTAGCGATTAAAAATTTAAAAAAAGTTAATTATTATATGTGAGCGAGTTAATTATTTCATTTCTAGACCAGTCACCAATGATTAGAAAATGATGAGTTTATGCTTTTCTTTTTTCATCGAAAAAAAAACATTAATAGCTAGCTAATTAACTATCTATCTACCCGTTTCTCAAAGATGCATAATAGATGAATTGTTGAAAGCAGATGGACGACGACGAGTAGGTATTGTAGAAAATGGTTGAATTGGTGGTAAATCTGTTAATGGATCAAATGAAGCTCGTACGTAACGAGCAAGTTGTGTTGTAGTTGATGGTGCTCGTTGTGAAGAAGGATAGCTGTTATAATAAATTTGTTGAGATTGTTTCCGTTGTTGTTCTAATGTTGTCATTGGACGAAAATTGGGATCAAGTAAAGCTTCAAGAGAAATCTCATCGGCATTGAAGACAAATGTCTGAAATTGTCTATTATTCTCAATAGATTGCGAATGTTTTTCATTATTCTGACTCGTAATTTTTATTGGTGATTCTGGACATGAACGTATATTAAACTGATCAATCTGGATGAGAGAGAAAATTATTTGTTTAATAATATGATATGTATATATGTTGAATTATTGGTTCTTTTTTTGTTAATAAATGTTCATATAATAAAGAAAAAAAAATACGAATAAGATTTTCTTACCAATTTCCTTGTTTTTTGTGTATTACGAAATTCAATCCAATCACTTTCAAAAGTTGATTGAAGTTCTTGTAATTTACGCGTTTCAAATTCGACACATTGTTCTAATTTTTGTCTCTAAAAAAAAAAAGAAGAGAATTTTTTTCTTCATTGAAATAAGCTTCTTTTGTCTTTTTTTTACTTGAACAAGTAATAATTCATTTTTTGTCGTTTGATGTTTATTTTGAAGATTTTGTATTAAACGACGATGTTTTTCTTTTAAACGATCTTCATGAATACGACGTCTTTCATTTTCATCATTTTCAAACTAAAACAAAATATTTTGTTAGTAGGAAAAAAGACAAGGACCCTTTTAATATAAATCAAATGACTGATTTTCATCTCGTGCTACATTGGATTGTTTCTTTTTTTTTTTAGCATGAATGCAATTACAATTTAAGCACAAGAGGGTAAAAAAAAATTTTGTTTTCTTAATCATCACTAATGAGAAATATTTATAAATGATTTCATTATGACAGTAAAAATAACTATTCGCTCTTTTAATTGAAAATATCTAAAAACTAAGTCTTTATATCCTCTGCCATCATCAATTATAAAATATAATTATTTCTTTTCAACTTTTGAGAGTCATTAAGAATCAACCAGAGTAGTATATAAGAGACTAATGAAAGTTTCTTGTCATATTAATATAAAATATTAGCAAAAACGCTGCGACTGAACGTATTATGTATGTATATCACAAGAAGCTTTACAATCAAACTTTCAAGTGTATTTAATCTTAAAGAGAAAAAATTCTGAATAAAATGAAGAGTTGCCACATTTTCTACGACCTTCCTTTAAAAAGTTATAAGCATCACAAACAATCTAAAAAAGCGAAATTTATTATAGCATTGCTGTAAAACACATTTTTTGTGATGCTTATAACATTTTAAAGAAAGGTCATAGTAGATGCGGTGATCTCTCATTTTATTCAATACTTTTCTCTCTTTAAAATGGTATTATGAAAAACTAATTTTCGCAAAGTTTTCTGGTATCTAAAAACTATCGTATTTGATTATTTCAGAAACCTTCATCTCATATTTCATCTATGAAATTTCGGTATGAAATGCATTTGATAATGAACTTCATTGACTATGCAAATTACTACTAGAATTTGAGTTAAATGCTTAGTATTGAAAAGAAAAATACGTTGATCTTATATTTTTGACGAGTATTCTAGATGCCGAAATGCTTGAGTTTTTCTTATGAATATGCGGAAAATCTAGCACTCAATGATTTCTAGGAATTATTCTGTATTTCAAATATAAAGGTATATAATCATTTTCAAATAAATCTGATGAGAATAAATAAAATGTTGCATGCTGCGATATCTGAGAAATACATATCAAATAGCAACTCTGTAGAAAAATTTAAAATATAAAAGCAAATATAAAAATTCATAAATCATTCAAATTATTATGAAATCATGTTTTTTTTTTATAGCTGATATTCATCTTACTTTCTTTATAGATCGTCAAGAATGTTTGACTGTTGTCTATAGAAATACTCAAAATGATACATCTTTGTCAAAGATTACAAAAATAGAAATAATATAACAGAAAATGACAGCTTAATACTTCGATGTAATTCATTAGCATGCCATCTCAAAAGATATTTCCATTATAACTAATAAAGCTTAATTTAAAGAGAAAAAAAAAGGAAGAACACGTCATTCTATGAATATTAATTATTTCTTATCAAGAGATTGACAATAAGCAGAATGATTATATGAATTGTGTTACTTAGCATACTAAAAATTGCAGTAGGTTTTCTGCTTTGTATCAAAATGTGCACAAAACCTTGAAATATATAATGTTCTTATTAATTCTTGTTTCGAGAAATTCAATTTATATTAAAGTTAAATAAGAATGTTGATTTTTTTAAAAAAGAGAAACGGTTATATTTTGAATATTATAGATGAAATAATGGTAGACAATAGAAATCGAGTGTAAAAGTGTTAATAAAATTTAAGGAAACTCTCTCACCTTTTCTGGGTGTCAAAATCAAAATTTTTGCGAGTTTTAGTGTTACAGCGTTAATAATACTTCGAAATGTCCTCTGTGAAATGCTATATAAATGAAGACTCTTCATTGTTAGTTAGTAATTTTATTAAACTCAACTCTTGAAATTTCAAGTAGAAAAGCTCACGATGTGATTATTCTTCGTAATCAGTTTTCAATTACTTTAGTGGGAGAAAAAAGTTCAGATACATACAGAAAAATTTTTTTTTGTCTTTCTCGAAATTAATTTTTACACGGAAAAAAGATAGAATCCCCCCCCCCCTCACCCTTTCCGTTTTTTACAAGTACTGTATATTGCTTGGGATAGCTTTTTTTTTTTATTTTAAGAAATATTGCACCATTGATCTTACAAAAAAACAACACGTATTTTTAGAAGCAAGTTCAGAATTTTGATCTTTTTATTCGAATTGAAGGAGATAAAAAGAAAATCGTTCGTCAGAAACTCCGAAAAGGAAGGGGAGAGAGGGGTCGTCTTAAGCAAATTAACATAAACTTTAATTATTCTTTTCTAATATCACCTTTTTAAGTAAAATTTTTTCCTCTTCAAATGGTGTTTTATTAATAATTAATTGTTGTCGAAATTGTTTATTTCGTGTTTTTTGCATTTTTTTCCATGTTCTTGGCCATTCACGTCTATCATCATTTAAACGTGCTTCAAGTGTATCACGTTCAAAACGCATTTGATCATCTAATTGTTGTAATTCTTTTTCGGATTGTTGTGCTAACATTGTACGAAATAATGAATAAAATGATTTTGTTTGTTTACGTAAAAGATCATAACGTGAACGTAATTCATGTTCATCAATTTCCCATAATGCTTGTTCTTTTGTTTTAAGTAAATTTTGTTTTTCAATAAGAAATTGTCGTTCTAAAATTTGTATACGTTGTTTATGATAATTTTCAATTGTTTTTAATTGATTTTCAAGTGTTTGTTGTTGATTATCAATAAATTGTTTTTCACGTATAAATGATTCATTTTCTTTTTCAACTAAATAACGTTTTAATTGTTCCTTACGATCTTTTATTGATTGAGTGCCTAAAGATACTTATAGAAACTTAATACACAACAAAAAAAAAAAAAAAAAAAAAAAATTTCATTTACCATTATTATTTAAATACATGGGATTATTTGCAGTATTATATGGTGAATCAAATTCACGTTTAATTTGTTTAAATTGTTCACGAATTTGTTCACGAAATAATTTTAATTCTTTTTCTTGATCTAAATAAATTTAATTAGAAAATTAAAAAAAATAAAATAAAATAAAACATACCAATTTTTATTTGTTTCATTTTTTTATTATATTCATTTGTTAATAAAACACTTTCACGTTCAATTTCAATTTTTTGTTTTTGTTCCATTGTTTGTAATTCAAAATCATATTTTTTTATTAATTCATCACGTTTACGACGAAATTCTTGTCGTTGTTCTTCTATTTCAAATTCATGACGATTTAATAATTGTTGACGACGTTTTTCTTCAAGATGATATAAACGACGAAATTCACGATGTGCTTCTTTTCTAAATACAACAACAAAAAATAAAACAACATAAGTAATCAAATTTCATCGTCATTTGATCTATCATATTTAATGAAACTCATTAAGTTCCCGTTCGATTTTGTTTTCCTATCATATTTCTTCTTTATCTTTAATTCAAATGGATGCAATTTAAATATATATGTATATAATTATATTAATTTTCGAGAAAATATATTAATTCGATAAATTTCAACGATAGAAAAAAAATCTCGATACTAATGAATGACATTGAATTTTATAATCAATTTATTGAAGTTCGAAAGGATCGATGATTTTCATTTTTTCTAAAACATCTTTATAGAAATGGTTGAAATCGAAAAATATGAACTATGACGGATGGCTTTTCTTCAATACATTTTTCATTATTCTCTGATAGAATTGATTTATTTCTTTACATATCCACTGAAAACTCTTGTCTAGATATAAACTAATAGATGTCTTTCAATTCCTAGAGCAGGATTTTCGATTAGGTAAAGCTTTCTCCTTTCGCAAAAGATCCGATTTTCTGCTAATGTGGAAACACCATTAGCCTTTTCCTGGCAGAGAGTGAAATAAAAATAAGCAGTCAATGTCGTTACGGCGTGAATAGGATTGGGATAGGCTTCGGGAGAGAGGTGGTCTGGTAGCAAGCCGTATATTGAAGAAGGGTTGGGTCACAGTGGGTCACCATTTCTAGTATTCCGAGAATGAAAGCACTTTCTGCCGATTTTTCGGCTCTCCTAACAAATACTAACAATCCTATCGTATAGAATCATTTCCATACTGAATTAAAATAGTTGTCTTAGAAAAAAAAACTCAAAAAATCTATTTCTACCTTTTTCTTTATGGATTTTATAGAAATAAATATCAACTTTATCTGAAAATCATGCAAAACATGAATACACGCTGGATTTTAGGAATTCGATGAAATATTCTAATGATTTCTATTTTAACAAAAGAATAATCTAAGAAATAAAACTAATCATTCTAGAATTAAAATATGAAACATAATGAAGCTGTTTTCATTGTAAACAAAAAATCTTTTGTTTTTGACTTCTGCAACGAATTTTTTGTAGTAAAACAAGAAAATCTATTAACCATCGTATGTCATAATGTGAAGTGAAACGGCAAATGACATTATCTTCCATGTTATAAAATTTACTCTTCTTTTACAAAATATTAAATTTTTGATTAAACAACCTATTTACATTTTCAAACTATTCTATATCAACGACCGTCAATCACATTGAATTTAGAAAAAAAAATGGAATAGATTCAAATACCTTACCGTTCAGATAATCGTGATTGATAATCATTATGTGGTTCAACAATTTTAGTCGTAACAATTTCTTCTTCTTTACCATCTGGTCCAACAAATCTTCGTGTTGTTCGTATAGTTCGACGACGTGTTGCTCGTGTCTAAAAAAGAAAAGAAAAGAATTTCTCTTACAATTTAAAAAAAAACAAATGATTTTCATGAAAATTTTACTGTTAAATAAGTTGATGTTGGATCTGTTGCTGATGGTAAACCTGTACTTTGATTTGAACTATTTGTACTACGTATTGAATCATGATTAGTTAAACCACTAGAAGTTTTTATTGTTTGATGTACACGTGTATAATAATTATCAATATCACCATTTGCATCATTATTATAATTATTATAAACGATTGGTTGTGTTGGATGTGGTTTATCTTGACTAAAATTATAAATTTGATTAAAATCATCTAAGTATTGTTGTTGATTATTTTGATCTGCATCATCATCATCATTTGTTAAATCCGTTATAACAGCAAGTATAACTTCAGGAATAGATGGTTTTTCAAAATCAGATTGAATAACTTCTTCTATTAAATCATTAATATAGGATTCATAGATATTATCTAGTTCTTTATCAGCTAAATCTTTCATTTCAAGACGACCTATTTCAATATTACCACCAATACGAACATTCGATGCATTTTGTATTGTTGGTGGTGGAACAAACATTGATAATGATAATAAAAGTCTACTATTTATTGGTTTATTTTTTTCTGGTGATGGAACTTTTTGTTGAGTAATAGTGTCTAGTGGTGTAGATTTATTTATATCTTCATTGACAATTGATACTGGGGGTGGTGGAGTTGGTATTAGACGTTTAATTGGTATTGTTGGTGATGATGGAGGTGGTGTACGATGTTTATTTGGTATGGTTGGTGATGGTGGAGCTTTTAAATTTGTTGTTGTTTCTTTCGGTTCAGATACAGCACGAGTTTTTGGTGCTTGAAATTGAGTAGTAATTACTATAGGATTAGCATTACTGTTCAAAGGAAATGCTGGTAATGGTGGTGCTTTTGGAATTTTATTTGATGATGATGATTTTGTTGCTGTTGGTGGTGCTGGTGGTTTAATTGTTATACTGAAAAAGAATTTTATATTCATTCATTGAGAAATATTTGTCTTTTGAAAAAAAAATTTTTTTTTTTTTATTTTTGAGATTTATATGAAAATAAGAAAAGATATCTCCTTAATTTTTAATCAAACATTTATGTTTTGGTATTAATTTGCTACTTAATAAATAATAACTTTTGAAATGATTTAAATTTAGTTGTTATTAAGATCCATTTGAGTTTTATGTAAGAAGAAGAAATTTTTAGATTGATGAAAATATTTTTTGTAATATGAGAGAGAGAGAGAAAATACAAAAAAAAACTAAATTCTTTATAAGTGACTTTATTATAGAGACATGCATGAGACTTCGAAAACATTTTTTTTCTTAATTAACATGGCGGAAATAATTCCCAACTTCAGTTGTATCTTGTGAGTTTTTTATGATACTAACTTAATAGAATCTCTTCGCGTGACAAGATCTTCGTACTAATTTCAACTATCTTGGATACACAAAGATATTCACAAATTTAATTGATTTTAATTTTTGTGTCGAATATATCTAACTATTTGTTCATAATATTCTCACAATTAGATATGATTTGTGATAGTAGTATCCAGGTAGTGAACACCGACGGTTTATCGTGGCTTTATCCGTTCGGCTATCGTCTACATTACTGCGAAAAACTTGTGATTTTTTTCTAGTTAACCGCGGTTAATCGCAGTTTACAGCTAAAAATGATTCGGTTCTAGTAATAAGAGTGCACTAAACTTAAATTATATAATATCTCTGAACATGTAAACTTTCACTAATTTACGTGAAGAGAAAAATTCTCGAATTAGGAATTGAAGTTAAAAAGATTTAACTCTACAGGTCTTTACTTTATTATGACAAACTTACTTGCTCGATTCTTTTGATTTATTATTATCGTCAGTTGCGATTACAGACGGCTGTGGTGGTAAAGGTTGTGATGTTGGTATGATTTCAGTACTTGATAAACGTCGAAATTGTTTGAGTACAATATTTGATCCAATTTGATTATTATCTTGATTAGTTTGACTATCATCAATAGTTGTTGCAACATCACCACCAGCTATTGATGAATGATCATCATCATCAGCATCATCATTATCATTATTATTATTATTATTATCTTCATCATCATCAGAAAAAGTACGAGTTACTGGGATAGGAAATTTTTTAATTTCTTCTATACTTGATGCTTTTGAAAGACGATGTTCATGTTTTAAATCATCTTTTGACTAAAAACAAAAATAATAAATAAAAAAAATTTGTCAAACAAAAACCACTATTCTCAATTTACTTGAGATGTAGGAAGAATAAATTCTTCTTCAACAACTTCAACAACAGGTGTAGCTTTATATTCTTCAAGTAAATAAAGTATTGATGAACGTAATGATTTAGTATCTAACATAAATGGATGTTGTTTTAATTCATAACATGTTAAACGTTCCATTGGATTACGTTTTAAACAATATGATAATATATTAGAAAAATCTGTACTCCATAGACGTGAATCTTTTAATGTTGGTGGTGCTGCTTGTCGAATTTTTGCACCAACACGTTCAGCACGCATTTCATGATGTGGTGGGTCCATTTCAGCCATTTCAATTAATGTTATACCAAATGACCATATATCGACACGATAATCATATGAATTATCTGTACTAGCTTCACAAAAGAACACTTCAGGTGCCATCCTAAAGAGAAAGAAAAATTTTTCAAGGTCAGAGACACTCGCGTAAGCATGTGTACGTGATTAGATTTGTGGAGTAATATTCATTTTATTATGATAGATAATGGAGAATATTTGTTTCTTATGGAATATATTTTTCATATTGAAAAGATTTTATTTGTTATTGTTTGAAGTTGAATATAGATGATTATTAACTGAGCGAAAATTAATTTTCTATTTTAGGTTTAAACTTAAGCAATGGTTTATAAAATATGCATGAATAAATCATCCTAGCTAATTTTTATTCATATTAAGGATAGCTGTCTGTTCTTCCGAGAGTTTTAGAGAAATGTTCATCAGAAAAATTTGAAATTATCACAATAAGTTGATCTTAATGAGTTGAACAAAAGTTATCCTAGACTCAAAAGTTTTCAGATACTATCTTCTATGAGATATTGGGATCACAATTACGAAAAATGTATATCCTATTATGCTTGATCAAGCTGAAAATTTTCTTAAGAGCACTAGACACTGTTTGAAGTGAGTATTTTTTCGGCTTCTCTTTTTTATTTGTCCTTCAAATAAAAACGTCAAAATGTCGAATGTATTGTAAAAATAAACACGTATTTTCTTGATACAAAAAAAAACAGTGTATTGTATTTATTAAAAAAATTTTATCTCGATCGGAGGCGTTTCTACATTTTTTTTTCTTGTCATGAAAAAATTCCCAGATATACTCAGTACATAGAAAGTTAAGAAAATGAATGAAAGGTGTTTAACTTAATCTATTTTATCATAAGATTTCTTTTATCAAAAAACTTTTTGAAATTTCTAATCACATGAAATTTGAATTTAGAAAAAGAAAAAAAAAGACTTATTATTATTATTATTATTCTCATACCAATAAACAGTTCCAATATATTCATTTCGTTTTTGATCTTGATAAGAATTTTTAACCGAAACACCAAAATCAGCTAATTTAACTTGTCCAGTTAGTGTTAATAATATATTACTTGCTTTAATATCACGATGTATAACAAATTGTTGTGTGTGTAAATAATCTAATGCTTCTAATATTTCATATCCAATAAAACGTATTTGTTTTTCATCTAAACCATGTTCAAGTGTTGTCATTATATTATCGACAGCACCATATGTACAATATTCAAGAAAAATATATAATTTGTTTTCATAATAATAAGCATCATGAAAATTAATTATATTTTGATGATTACATTCAGCTAAAATATTTATTTCAACTGTATGTTCATGTAATTCATCATCAGTACAATCTTCAATAATTTTTACTGCACCATATTGTCTATTTTGTTCATTATATGCTTGATATACTTTTCCAAAAGCACCATCACCTAATTCTTTAATTAATTTCCATTCAATTAATGGTGATTGTTCTTTATATAAAGGTTTATTTTTAAAAAAATAATCATTCGAATTTTTCGAATGTGTTGTATCATCACCATTGGATGTAGTAAAAATATTTTTCAATCGCTTCAGCATTAATATATTTCAATCATTATATTTTATTTTATCTATTTTGAATAGAAAAAAAAATACAAAAAAATATTATTCTAAAAAAATAAATGTAAATGCACGTCAATAGTATATTCAAATGTCTTAACTCTATCAATAAGATTAACATTTGATTAAAAAAAAAACAAAAAGAAACAAAAAAAAAATTGTTTTATTTACTTTCGATTTTTGTACACTTTATTTTCTTTCCTCCTTACTTTCGTTCTGATTTTCGATACAATGTTTTTATATTTGGAGCTATGAACAATGTTTTCATGAACATTGATGGTCACGATTCATCTTTTCTTTTTTAAACAATGATAGATGGCGAGAGTTGTGAAAAAATTTTCATAAGAAAATACATATTTTTTTGTTAATTTTTATGCCAATTTAGAAGAACAAACACATGAATCAATGGTGATTAATAAGCAAAAAAAAATCAATAATATGATTCACAAAACTTTCTGACATATCATGAAAAGAGGGCGCTAGAAATTTGCCTTAAAAGAGATTATATTGAATTGTATTAATTGACATTTAAATACTAGGATGAGTATCTTGAAAAAACTAATATAAATTCAAATATTAATCATGAAATGAAATATTCTATTCTACTGTCAAATGATCTTTAATCAATATAATTTAATTTCTTTTTTTATTGTCTTCTAAACAATCTAAATAATATAATATAATTGTAAAGAAACCATTAAATTTAATTAGAAAATTATATTTAATATTATGTCGTGATATGTTTATTATTAATAGTAGACATTTGATTGAATTTATTGGTTGTTACTTAGTTTGTAAAAATTGCTTTATTAAATAATTCATTTTTCACAATAATCGATCAAGACTATTCATACAATCATTAAACAAGCAAGTTCAATTATGTATACTATAGAGTAGATTCTATTATTGAGAAGTAAGAATCTCCGGTTGCATTATATTCAAAGTGTGTCATTATATTATAGTCGGAATTGTTTATAAAGTATTTATCATTTTATATTTTCCAGTCTAAGAATAAATAGGTCAAATATTATAGTCTTTCGCTATATTTCATTGTAATCTGTTCTGTTTTTTTTCTATTATATGATTCCCAATAAGGATAATTTATTTCGACAATGTAAATTAACTTTCCTGGTGAAGACCAAGCTCTTTGCTAATATCTCAATAATACATAGATTATATATATATATATATATGTATATTTGTATCGACTGATATAAGTTTTTCTTTCTTATCCAGTATGGCTTTTCTTCACTAACCCATTACATCATTGGTATCATTAACATAGTTGACCTCTAAGGATAATATGATTGTTTAATATACCATTAGAGAAACGATGTTTGATATAGACAAAAAAAATATTCTAGCTGAATATTTGACTTTGTGTTTTAAAATAAATTTATATAGACTCTTTTTTTTCTATCTTAAGTATAATGAAGAGATTTTGTTTTTCATCAATGAAACATGCAAACGGAATTCCAAGTCTGATTGTTGACTCGAATAGAAGCAAGACTAGTCACATAATGATGATAAGAATTTTCATTCTTTATTTTCGCCTTCAAGCACGCGAAGGAAATTAGTATTTCTTCTTACTAAATGTAAAATCATCTGTGCCATTGTAAGTATGTATTGAATGCATTTGCAGATATCTATATATATTTGATCTTATGTTAATGCATAGAAATATCACTGGAATTTTTTGAAAAAGAATGAGCATTGTTTTAATTATATTATTTTATAATAAAATCTTTTGAATGCATGTCATTTTTTATCAACAACTAAATCAATCTAAAGATTTTTATTTCTTTTTTTTTTTATTGGAAAATCTCTCTACGTTTATATATGAATATTTGTATCTGATCGATGGAATACCTCAAAATTTGACCTTACTTTAAATGCTTTGATCTTGTTCAATATATTAAATATCAAAAGAAATGTCTTGTCACATGAAAGGGAATAGAATTTATATTTATGAAAAATTTGGAATAGACTGTTAGACGTGATTATTTCCAAGGAGGAAAAAAAAAGATTTTAATTATATTTTCCTATATGTATTTGTTTTCTTCTGACGCACATATCCATTTTAATATGAGTAGATGTAGATTATCGAGTGTCACTAAACACACATTCAATGCTTGTGCGTGTCTTATCTTTTAATATTAACGAAATACAGCAAAATTCTTATGCATTCTATAACAAACAGTCATAAATGAAACTTGAGAATTGTTAGTTGGTTCCTTAGACTTTGTTCAACTCATTATTGAATATATGCTGAGAAGATCGAACACGCAATCATATGAAAGAAGACGATCCGCTGATTAGAAAATGTATCTACATAAGAGTACACAAGTGGACTGACTATGATGATTGTACACCAAGACAGACGACATTTGTAAGTACCCATTCTCTCGTTTTGTCTAAATGGGAACAATCGACTTTTGGCGTTTTTTTTTGTTCTGCTGTCTCTCTCTCTCTCTCTCTCTCTCTTTATCTTGTTTAATAAAAATCTATTTGTTAAGATTGTGTGCATTCTGTTGGAACAATCATGCAGTCAATCACATATACGCATAGAGTAGCAACAACAAAAGACAAAGATCGATCGCGCAAACTCATTTAACGTTCTGTGTGTTCAATATACGCATGTCTATGCGACACACATATATAGAAATATGCCGATCTTTTTCTCTTGCGACTATATGCAAGTACGACTGCTGTTTCTACTAGAACATTACTTAGGCAGATAGGAACAAGAACAAGAGAGAGAGAGAGAGAAAATCCATCCTAATCCACTTCAAGTACGGAAAAACGAGAACGAAAGATGTAGGAAAGCATATGAACCAAAAGAAATGGAGAAAGAGAGAGAGAGAGAGAGCAATTGATCATGTCTGTTGTTACCACATATTTCTGCTTCTGTTGTATACTGGCAGTTATCGATATGCATCTATTCATATAATCCTCCCGTGCGTCTTCTTTTCCTAATGCCATCAACACTCTAAGAGTAGTAAGAGAAGAAAAAAAAGAAGTAATAGTTCACACAACCACAAATACACACATACACAAATATTCTCAGAGTGGTCATCATCATCATCAGTTGGTATCTCTTTTTCACTCATTTTCTTACCGACAGTGATCATTATGGACAGGCAGGCAGTTTACTGTCTGATATGGTATGTAAACCGTTATCGTACGTCATTATCGAGAAAGTAATAATAACAATTGGAATATATATAGATTTTTTTTTTCTTTTTGTTTTCTATCTTCATTCTCCAGAAATTCCAGATGATCATCATGCAGTAATAATTTAGTTACATTCATTTTTCTAAGAAGAAAGGAAGTCTATTCGATTGATTAATAGATAATTAATTAGTATAGTGTTTATAGAAATGATAAGAATGTATCATTTTTTAACTATTTGGAGTACATTACATCTTATTTTATCTGTCAAGAACGAAGATCATATAACAGAGAGAGAGAGAGAGAGAGAAGAAAATAAAAAAAACAAAAATTTTCTTATTTTTCTTTGATATGTATTGTATACGATATAAATAGTAAATTGTTATAGGATGATAGTTTTGTTTAAGTGAATTATTAATATTTCTAAAAGGAATATCAAAAGAGCTTATAGTTGTAGAAGAAAGAAACAACTATAGAAAAAAAGAAGAATAGTACAAGATGAAAGTATAAATAATAAGAAAAACTTGAAGATAGAGACATAGAATCAACATTACATGAGATTAGTTTTCTTTTCCCTGTCGTCGTGTTGTTATACTATGTCGAAAGTATCCAAATGCTTCTTTCATCTACGTCTTTAACTCAATCTACCCTAACGAGTACTTCTCGTAGCATATAAATCGTATCGCGCCATTCTATTGTAATTGTAAAAGAAAATTAATAAAGATAAAGAAATATGACTAAATAGAAAAAGAACAGAAATAACTATTATTGTATATTTTGATGTTTTACAGAATCTGGATTTTTTTTCTTCCTTGAATTTTTCTCATAAATATTCGAGCAACTAAGTAAGTCTCAAAGGAAGTATGTCATTTTGTGCTATAGAAGAAGAAAACAATATAAAAAGAAACAGATAAGATTTAACCTACAAACGACGTTATTGATCTTTATTAGAGAATTCTTTAAAAACTTTTACATTTCTTTTTATTTATATCTTTCATATTCAAGATCTTCACACGAATATTTGAAGAACAAACCCAAAAAAAAAACAAAACACAACTAAAAGAAGTATACAAAAACAATCATTGTATTTTTTTTTTTGTTCGACAATGAAATTTTTTTTTACATTATTAATTTCGTTTCATCGGTAAACCAAAGTTTATATATATGACATTGAGCTGTCGTCGAGTACGCTGTTCTCAAGTACAGTAACCACAATTGCGGACAAACTCATTTAACATTTTAGTATTTGCTAGCGAGAAATATAACGTGTGCGTTAGATACATCTTATAAACGAGCGAAGGCGAAGCAAACAACTGCATTGATGATGAATTATTGAGCGCAAAAACTATCATACATACTCTTGCTTATACTGAATAGTTTCTATCATCCATCGGACGACAATGACGACGAAGACAACGAGCAACTATCACCAATAGGTCAATTCCATTGAGACGAGCATACTAAAGAAAGATGTGATGTCGCAATCCTCTTATCTTTTTCTTTTTCTTATGCCAGTGATGCATCTTATTCTATTCGCACAGTGATGCATCATATTCTATTCGTATAGAGAATCTAGTTGTAGCTGGCTCAAGGTAATTTTCCTGCGAACTGTTGTCATCGTCCTCGTTATCGTCACACTGTTTTCTCTTACAACACCATCATCATCATCAAAATTGTTATACACATATTATTGAACAAGCAGTCAGGCATTATATTTGCATATATAGAAATTGCTCAAGATCGATCGAAGGAAATACATAAAATAGAGAGCATAAGAGAAAAAAGAATATGGCATCTCCATATGTTAT